CAGCTCATCTGTTACCCATCATTAGGCTATTGCTGGTTCCTGTCCTACAGGGAAACTCTGAGGTAAGAAATAAAATCTGGTTTCTGCCCTAACGGTTTTTAAATCTCAAAATGAGACCTAAAAAACAACTCTGTTGGTTTCTGAATCATGTCCACGAATGTAAATGCTTTTAAGAAACATTTACTAGTAAAGATTTACCAAGACAGTAGCCAAAGGAAGAACAGTGCCGCATGTGACGTGCGAGGTGTGTGCAAAACGCTGTGTGATGACTGTCCCTCTTACTGCTGGCTCAGACAGGCTGGGTACTGAACTCAAAGTACAAGCGTATTATTCGTGAGTCCTCCCAATGACACTCTGAGGAATAAGGATCCCCACTGCAGAGTTCAGGTGACTGAGGCTAAGAGAGGTTAATGAACTTTAAAGCGGCACAGCCAGGATTCAAACTAGGATCTTCCCAACTCAAAGACGGAAGACTCCCACTATTCTGTAGACAGTTTAGTACTATATGAGTGATAACACTTAATTTCAGGGAAGGAAACAAAAATCCATAATCTCAGAAGCTTTAAATAAGACAAAGAACATAAATAACATGATAGAAAGTTACTGCAGAGATACCAAAATAACACAATGCACTGAATTCTAATGAAGGAAAAAATGGCAAAAATGAGTATGGCATTTCTGATGCGACTAGGTAGTTTATTTTTATTTTTTCTTTCCTTCTTTTAAAAAAAAATTTAACAAACTCTGCATGTGGCATTCAATTTACTTCTAAAGTGAAATAGGCCAGACATGGTTCGCGCCTGTAATCCCAGTGCGATCCCACTTTGGGAGGCCAGAGAAACCCCATCTCTACAAAAAAGTTAAAACAAGTAGCCTGGCATGGTGGCACACACCTGTAGTCCCAGCTACTCAGGAGGCTGAGGCAAGAGGATCACTTGAGTGTAGGAATTGGAGGCTGCAGTGAGCTACGATCGCACCGCTGCACTTGAGCTTGGGTGACAGAGCAAGACTCTGTTTCTAAAAATAATAATAATAAAAGTAAAATAATTGGTTTTATGCTCAGCATTCCGTATAACTCATTAAAACATATTTCCTATATCTCTATGTTCCTCGAAAGGAAAAGTGAAGCCTGTCCAATAGGACTTCTGGGGAGATTACACTTCTGTCAAACAACTTGAAAAGTATCAGGATTATATTTATTACCTGTAGAGAGGAAAAAGTCCCAAAAGCAGTCACGTTTCCAGATTTAGCAAATGAAACAGAAAGAACATCTGTTTCACAATAGTCTGGACAAGAAAAGACTTCAGTTGTAATGTACCAGAGGTTTTATCAAAATCTTTCCCCATCTGGTCTCTGAATTCATTTGGGTACATACAAGAATTATCAAACTGGCTATTGTCACTGGACCTGGTGAAGTCAATCTTTTAATATTTACTACGTAATTAAGGTAAAAATATGAGAACAGGAATGTAAAATCAAATACAGAATAAACTGAAATAAGTTCCATTGTACTATACAAACAAACCATCCTTTCCTTTTCTCTGGCATGGGCCATGTGACCAGGAAGACAGTATAGAGCACTCCCCACTATTCAAAGCCTCCGAGTTTACGACACAAGTCAGAAAGAATGGCACTTACCATGTGCAAGAGGTCTGTCCTCCCTGTGCCAAGTGAAGTCCTAGGATAATGTTTTTGGAGGGACAAAAGGAGAAAACGGGAAAGCCTTCACAGATCTAAATGATTTATATAAGTGTAAAATGGAGGATCTTGAATGCTTTTTTATAAAAATTACAGATAACATGAAAGGCTCACCACTCCCACCAAGAATGACTACTTTGCAGAATCAGATTCAGGTTTAAAACCGCTTGAAGAAACCCTACTGTCTGGAAGGCTGAAACTGCCAAAAGTCAGATTCAGTAGCATCTATTCATTTGATATTTGCACCATAACAATTTACTGAACACCAACTGTGTGCAGAGTACTATACTAGACCCTGAGTGTATCAAGCAGTGGACGAGACAAACCCTATCTCTATGCAGGGCTTATACCGATGTTCACTGGCATTCAAAAGTGGCTCAACAAAGCAGATGCCAGACGGTGTCCAATACATATCAGGTAGCTTGATTGCATTATTGTAATGCAAAGAAGCCCTACAGGCAACATGTGAAGGTAAGAACAAAACATGCAGAGAAAGAACATTATATAAATCTAAGAATTCTCACATCTTTTTTTAGGCCCAAATACCAGTGCTTCCTATCTTTGAGGCAGAGCTTAAACATCTAATAGTAGGCACCAGAAGCAATGTAATATATCATTCATGAAAATAAAGACTGCTTTGTAGGGGGACGAAGCAGTAGGAGATTGTGTTAAATGAGGTCTGAAAGCAAAACAGTGAAGAAGCATTATAACTGCCTATATCAGATGCCAGTCTCTTCAAAAGGCAAGAGTCAAGGCCTTTATTCAGGATAGCAAAAGCAAACCTGATTTAACTAGGTACAATGTCTAATGTCTCTTACTCTGAACAGGTTTTATTGCCATACTCCAATAAACTGTTCGTGCATTCACTAAAATATATTTTCACTTTCAAAAACCTTCTTTTACAAAAAGGCAAAGCAAAACCAAAGCCCAAGCATCGGGCTGTGATAGAGATGATTTAAGCTTTACATTTCACTTTTAGAGATGATGTAACCACAGCACGCACACTCACAGTGGCTGAGCCCATTTTGATACAGTCTAGTCTAACCACCTTTCCTGGCCCTCTTTCTGCTATCTTGCAGGTTTACATGGTTTCAGTGACTCCATGTCACCTCGACCATTTCTTTTCTAACTATTATTTGCTAAATAATCCTAAACCAGGTCTACTTTTTCTAGATAGGGCATAAAAGTAAAAACACAACGGATGGGCATTCACTGCGTTGTGCCAGGGCCCGCATTTGGTGAAAGACTCTAAGGACACCAAGATAAACCAAGTCCATCCCTCCTGGAGTTTGCTTGCAAATCTAGCAGGGAAGACAGTAAACAAGCAACTGCAGAGGATATGACACATCTCTCTTAGGGAACGCTGGCTGCAGAAAGAACACAGTAGAGGAAGATTGAACCTTGAACTGTTTTAATGAAAACAGAAGTTTAAGTAGCAGCTCTTACTTCTAATCAAATGTGATGGCGGGAGAAGGGGAATGCAGAGGTGTGGCAGACACTAGCTATGAAGGTCAGCATTGCTGTGCAGAAAGTGAATCGGTGCTAAAGATAGGGAGGGGTGGGGGCACTCAGGACCCAACACGTACTGGGGTTTGTCAGCCGTATTAAGTGCTGGGTTTAACCTAAGGGCAAAGGACGCGCTTTCTAGACTTTCATTTCATAAAGATCCCTCTGGGCTGTGAAAAGTGGACTACAAAGGAGCAGACGGGTCTGGAGGTGGAGAGACCAGGGAAGAGGCTGCTGTGGAGATGGAGAGACGTGGACAGATCTGGCAGACGTTTACAAGGTCGACAAGGCTTGGTGACTAAGCGGGAAAAGAAGTAGGTGGGCGAGAGGGGGGCGAGAAGGATGTTTTCCGGTTTCCTGCTTGGGTGCCACTTACTGAGAATGGGGGAAAGACGCAGGTGCAGGGCACACCCACTGAAAACAACAGCGCCGAGCGTGAGCAGGGCTCGCTCACTCCTCACGGCCTGGGATTTCAAGGCGACGCCAATCAGCTGTGGCCACGGAGACACAGCCACAGGGATGAGCTGTGAGCACTCACGAAACTCTGCAGGGCCGAAAAGGAATTGGATTTTAAACCCTGCAACTAGCTCTCTGGAAGAGCTAAACCACACAGTCAACCCGGGATAGTCCAGGCCCCAGGCATGGAAGGCAGCAGAGACGGAAGCCTCGCCCAAAATTGGAAGGATCAGCCCCGAGGGCGAGTCCCTCACAGTCAGCACCCGGCCGCCCCAGCCCTCGCCGCACCGCTTCCCGGGGCCACTCCTCCGCCGGCGGTAGCACCGTCTGCTTTCCAGCTTGCCGCTGCCTCCCGCTGCCTGGCCCGGCCTCCTGGCCCCAGGCCCGGCCGCCAGGTCTCTGGCCCTCGGAGTTCGGTGCCCCGTGCCCGACCTCCCGGCCCCGGCCTCGGTTCCCCCGGGCCGGCCTCCCGCTGCCTGGCCTCCCCGGCCCCAGGCAAGCCTCCCGCCCCCGGGTCAGGTCTCCCCTTCGATGACCTGAGGCCTTTCCTTAGGTTACTCCCAGGTCCCTCTCCCTAAATCAAAAGCCTTAACCCGCTGCCTGGCTGCCCCGGCCCCGGCCCCGGGCTTCACTGCTCGCTGCCGCCCCCGGTGAGGTGGCAAAACAAAGGCTCCGCCGCCCAGGTCCCCGGGCGGGCGCTGGGCCTGGGAGGACGCAGAGAGCGGGGACAGGGCTGACCGCCCGGAGCGAGCGCGGCACTCACCGCACAGCCTCCTCACACCTTCCACAACCGCCTCACAGCAGCAGCCACCCGCTACGATCCGCGTCTGCACCGCTTCAGCGGCCTGCCGCCGGGGGACGTGCTCCAGCGCTAGCCCCGCCCCCGACCCGCCCCTGTCGGCCCCGCGCGCCCCCTCCCTGGGGCCCGTCCCCCAGCTCCCGCCCGCCCGAGAACCCAGGACCGGGCTGGGCCCCAGGAGCCGCCAGCCCGCTGCAGCCCGCGCCCGCGCCCGCGCCCGCGCCCGAGGCCCCGCCCCCGAGGCCCCGCGCCCGAGGCCCCGCCCCCGAGGCCCCGCCCCCCCGAGGCCCGCCCCCCGAGGCCCGCCCCCGAGGCCCGCCCCCGAGGCCCGGCCCCGCTCCCCCGCCCCGGATTTGAAAGCTGGGTCTTCCTGAGCGTCCGCGGGCTTCCGCTCCCAGCGCGGGATTCTGGAGGTAATTTGAGGAAGACTTGGAAACCGCGCCAGGCCCAACGGGGACCTAGAAGGGAGACAAGGCCAGGCCTGCTGCCCAGTGTGAGCTCTGAGAAGAAGAGGAGCGGGCCGGGACGCCCTCCGGTAATTTCCGTCCCCCCTCCGGTGACCTGAGGCCTTTCTTGGGGTTACCCCCAGGTCCCTCTCCCTAAATCAAAAGCCTTAGCCTCCTGTCGCCGGGGTGCCGGGCTAGTAATAAGCAGGTCCACGCATGCTGGACACACGGGCTCAAGCCACTCCGCGCATCAGTCAGTACTGCAAACCGTACACAGTAGTGTACTTAATCCATATATAAACGTTACAGGTTAAGCATCCCACAGCAAACAAAGTAGCCTTTAACATCACGAGGAAAAAAAGAGAGAGGACAAAGAGATGAACAACCAATCCAGAGGGAGTGAAGAGGAGAAAAAGAAGCCTGGTTTGGGCCCGAGAGGTCCTTCTGCAGAGACAGCGTCAATTAAGACTGTTTGGAGCTGCCGAAGGCAGAGTCCTGGGTGAGAACTGACAGTGGAAGAGGGCGCTTGTTTGTGTCCTTACCTGAGTGGATGCGGACTAGTTTTTTACTTGTTTATTAAAGTATAGTATCCTTGTTGGCAAATGCCCTATGAAATATAAAATGGGGTCTTTTCCTAAGATGGAGTTATTAATAGTTACGTGAAGGGTGTGCTATACACTGCCGTACTGATCCCCTTCCTATTTTGGGTCATGAACTCATTTTAGACCCTGAAGCAAACTGTGAATCGTTTTCGCAGAAGAATTCTCCAACACGTGAGCACGACATTCTGCATCAGATTTCATAAGGTTCTTGACATTCAGAAGTCAGATCAGGGACCCCATGGCAGAGCCTATTTCTAACGCTTGCGCCTATTCGACTATAGGGACTATATTCTGCACAGAAATATACTTAGTTTTATGTATCGTTACAACTTGCTGAGAGTTTATTGCATGCTTTTACATTTTCATAACACATTTGTTTGTTTCATCCTTTCAACAATCCCTCGGGGTAGGAATTACAATTTAAAGAGTTTAAGGCCAGGCGCGGTGGCTCATGCCTGTAATCCCAGGACTTTGGGAAGCCGAGGCAGGTGGATCAGGAGGTCAGGAGTTTGAGACCAGCCTGGCCAAGATGGTAAAACCCCGTCTCTACTAAAAATACAAAAAGTAAAAATAAAAAAAAAATAAAAAAATTAGCCGGGTGCAGTGGTGGGCGCCTGTAATCCCAGTTACTTGGGAGGCTGAGGCAGGAGAATTGCTTGAACCCGGGAGGCAGAGGTTGCAGTGAGTCAAGATTGTGCCACTGCACTGTAGCCTGGGTGACGGAGCAACACTCCATCTCAAAAAAAAAAGTGTTAAGTAGTTTGCTGTTGCTGAAAAAAGAGTCACAGGAGTTAAACTCAGATCCCACAAATACGACTTAGGCCTTTCTTTATCCCTCCCGAATTGAGTGAACACAATGTTTGACAGTCTTTTTCTGCCTCAATAAAACTGAGAAATAGGAGCCACTCCCAACCCTAACAGTGGCTCTGCAGAGCAGTAATTTGCGAAGAGGGGACTAGTGTGGTTGAACTAGTCCTTATCCCATTGTGATACCCAAACCCCTTCCTGTGCTAAACTTTCTTGCCAAAATGAGCAAGCATCAGCAGCAGTTTTCTGGATTCCTGTAAATCATACTAATTTACTTAGTCTACGAACTTTTATTTTTGAGACAGAGTTTCACCCTTGTTGCCCAGGCTGGAGTGCAGTGGTGCAGTCTTGGCTCACTACAACCTTTGCCTCCCAGGTTCACATGATTTTCCTGCCTCAGCCTCCCAAGTAGCTGGGGATTACAGGTGCCTACCACTAGGCCCAGCTAATTTTTGTATTTTTAGTACAGATGGGGTTTCACCATGTTGGCCAGGCTGGTCTTGAACTCCTGACCTCAGGTGATCCACCCACCTCAGCCTCCCAAAGTGCTGGGATTACAGGCGTGAGCCACCGCCCCCAGCCAAACATTTTGATTATAGCAAAACAGTAGGCTGGAGGCAGTGGCTTCTGACTGAAGCCAGTAATTTCTCTTTACAGGGGTATCCCAGAGGTGACAGAACTTGATCTGGGCCTGGAAGGGGAAGAATTCGGGAAGGGCAACGTGGGGCATTCCAGGTAAGAGAAATGTGTGCCGGGTTGGGGGAGGTTTCTGGAGTGGCTCAGGACAAAGGAGAGGTCATTATCAATTCATTTGGTGAGATGGTGGAAGAGTAAGAAATGAAATAGGTAAATGATTTAGGGCCAGATTCTGGAGGGGAGTTTAGACTTCATGACGTTGGTTTACCTGTGTGAGCTGAATGTTGCTATGAATCATTATCCCTGTGAAAAGTGATGAAAATGGTTTTAAGGGTGATTGGTTTGCCTGGCAGAGTTACGCTGTTTGGATGGGAGATCCTGTGGGGAGGATAGAAAGGAGGAACTGGGAAAAAAAAAAAGCACAACATATCACTGTGTGTTTTCTTACTCCTTACAAGAGGATTTGGGGAAATTTAAATATGAGTTACTTTTGCTGAAGCGTAGAAAGGCAAAGTGACTGAAGCAGGAGAAAAAAAGAAAATCCAGTCACTTATACTTAATTTCTTAAGGTGTTATTCATCCAGAAAGTGAACTTATATAATAATATTTTTGTAAATGCTTTTTGATCACATACTTTATAATAAATACTTTAACAGTGGGAGAAATAGTACAAATGCATTCCAAGAGGCTAGAAAAGGGATTATATTAAGAAAATACTGTCAAATACCAGGATATTACCAAATCGTAGAACTAGAGTATTGGCAGACAACACAAAATACTGATGAATCTAATCTCAGGGTAGAGGGAGAAGTTGGAGTTGGGGAATAGGAATTGACCAGTGATGAGAGAAAAAGAAAAGAAAAGAAAAAAGGGAGGGAGGAAGGAAGGAAGGAAAGAAGGAAAGGAAGGGAGGGAGGGAGGGAGGGAGGGAAGGAGGGAGGAATAAAGATAAAGAAGGCAACTGAGAGAACTAGGCTAGGAAGAACCATGACCAGGCTGGCTTCAGGTCCCCCCAGAAACCAGTAAATATGAAGCATGTGCCCCCTCCTTCAGCTGCTCCTGGGATCCATGCCATCAAGTGTCACAGCTGGGCAAGTCTGGGCATAAACACGGGAAAGCTGGGGCTATTTAGGTCAGCGTCATCTCACCCCTTCCATCCCCGCTGCCTCTTCTCCCACTGTAGTTACTTGAAAAGGACTAACATAGCCTTTTTTCTAGCTCAACCACCTTCGGTTGAAAGATCGGTATCAACCACGCTTAAATAATCAAACATGGTTAAACAAACATTCTGTGCAATGCTAAGAAGTAAATAATAGAAACTCTCTGAGCCCAATCTTTAATTTTATTTTATTATTATTTTTTTAGTAGAGATGGGGTTTCACCATGTTGGCCAGGCTGGTCTCGAACTCCTGACCTTGTGATCCTCCCGCCTGGACCTCCCAAAGTGCTGGGATTACAGGCGTGAGCCACCGCACCCGCCCTGGCAGAGCCCAATCTTTTAAAATACAATAAATGTTTTCCTCTGGAACTTGGAAACTATTACCAAAAACAGTTACAGTCCCGGAGTGGAAAGGAGCTTTGATACAAAATTATGTAAAAGAAAGACAACACTCTTTCACCACCGGGAATTAAAAGCATTTCTAATATGGTGACATATTCCCCCAGAGGGGAGGGATGAGGAATGTGATAGTCCCAAACCAGAATGCCAGATGCCTTCCTGTTCTCCATTTCCTTGGCTTTTTGTAATTCAACCCTCCTGCTGGGACTAGACCGAGCCCCAATTGTCTTCTGATCTCACCCCAGCTGTTAAAATTTTCAGACTGTGCAGACATGAAGGGGGCATGGTATGTACTGAACTTCTCTTTCTTCTTCTGTTGACGCTCATCGTTTCCCCAGTTCAGTGAGTCTTAAGCTGTTTTTTCATTGTGACTTCATGATGTTCATGTATGGATACTCCCATGGTCCTAAGGGAGGAGACCACCCCTCATATTGCCTTATGCCCAATTTCTGCCTCCTAAGAAAGAAGAAGTAAAAACTAAAAGGCAGAAATGAAATCCACAGGCAGACAGCCCGGCGCCATGCCCTGGGCCTGGTAGTTAAAGACCGACCCCTGACCTAATTGGTTCTGTTTTCTATAGATTACAGACATTGCATAGAAAAGCACTGTGAAAATCCCTATCTTGTTTTGTTCCGATCTAATTACTGGTGCATGCAGCCCCCAGTCACGTACCCCCTGCTTGCTCAGTCATGACCCTCTCACACGCACCCCCTTAGAGTTGTGAGCCCTTAAAAGGGACAGGAATTGCTCACCTGGGGAGCTCGGCTCTTAAGACAGGAGTCTTGCCGATGTCCCCGGCCGAATAAACCCCTTCCTTCTTTAACTTGGTGTCTGAGGAGTTTTGTCTGCCGCTCATCCTGCAACAGTCCCACCAAGATTTTTACAAAATCAAACAATTTTTCATGATAAAATTTCAGTGTCACTAAGTACGAACATCCACATAGTCATTTGTAGTCAGTTATCGGTTAGATACTAGCTAAATTCAGATGTGATTACATTCTGTATTTATTTTCTTCACTAATAATCAGTGGACTTTGTTAAAAGTTAAATTTCATTATAGAAAGTCAGTTTCTTAATTAGGTTTATCTAAGGGTAGCAGATTTTTAGCTGTATGTGAAGCAGATCAGAGTAACTCAATACTCAGAATCTAGCAATAAGGAGCAATATCACTTTGTATTGACAAGTTAAAGCAGTTTTTTTTTTTGTTTTTTTTTTTGAGACAGAGTCTCGCTCTGTCACCCAGGCTGGAGTGCAGTGGCACTATCTCAGCTCACTGCAAGCTCCGCCTCCCGGGTTCACGCCATTCCCCTGCCTCAGCTTCCTGAGTAGATAGGACTACAGGCATCCGCCACCATGCCCGGCTAATTTTTTTTGTATTTTTATTAGAGACAGGGTTTTACGTGTTAGCCAGGATGGTCTCGATCTCTTGACCTTGTGATCTGCCTGTCTTGGCCTCCCAAAGTGCTGGGATTACAGGCGTGAGCCACCGCGCCCGGCCAAAGCAGTTTTTTAAAAAATTGCTTCATCTCCTCAATCCAGTTGAATTGATATTTTTCCTAAGCATACCTGTTATGAAATTTATGTTAGTACCTTTAGAATTATATTTCTGTTTCCTAGTTTATAATTTTTATGTGAATTAGGTAGAACTCTGAGAGAATAATCTTTCTTAGGTCTGTTATGATTGATGTCAGATTTGAAATCTGTGGATAATATGCGTTTTTTTTTTTTTTTTTTCTAACAAGGTCATGATGTTCTACCCCCGCCCTTTTCTTTTCTTTTCTTTTCTTTTGAGATGGAGTCTTGCTCTGTTGCCCAGGCTAGAGTGCGGTGTCATAATTTCAGCTCACTGCAATCTCTGCCTCCTGGGTTCAAGCAATTTTCCTGTTTCAGCCTCCCAAGTATTTGGGACTACAGGAGCCCGCCACCACGCCTGGCTAATTTTTGTATTTTTAGTAGAGACGGGGTTTCACCATATTGGTCAGGCTGGTCTCAAACTCCTGACCTCAGGTAATCCGCCCGCCTCTGCCTCCCAAAGTGCTGGGATTACAGGCATGAACCACCGTGCCCGGCCTACCCTCTCTTAATCTTTTTTTTTTGAGATGGATTCTTGCCCTGTCACCCAGGCTGGAGTGCAGTGGTGCGATCTTGGCTCACTGGCACCTCCGCTCCCAGTTCAAACTATTCTCTTGCCTCAGCCTCCCAAGTAGCTGGAATTACAGGTGCCTACCACCACGCCCAGCTGATTTTTGTATTTTTAGTAGAGATGGAGTTTCACCATCTTGGCGAGGCTGGTCTCGAACTCCTGACCTGATGATCCACCCGGCTCAGTCTCCAAAGTGCTGGGATTACAGGCGTGAGCCACCGCGCCTGGCCCCCTCTCTTAATCTTTTAGGGAGATTCTGGTTTTCCTTCCAGGAAATACTCGTTTGCCAATGAGTTTGTGTTGCTGCAAAGTTTTCTGCTAAAATTCAAGACGATGTTTATCAACTCAATAAGCACAAACGTATTCTGTTAAATGATTTAGTACATATTATTTCACTTAAGCCCTAATATATCTATTTTCCACATAGGTAAATTATGGCAAAGATGATATTAATGAAGAGAGGAACTCTATTAATTACCTGTTTCTATGTCAAAGCCAGCCCCAAACTTACTGGCTTAAAAAAGACGAAACAACCAAATTTATTTTTTCTTATAGCTCTGTGGGTTGGCTGGGCAGTTTGGTAGGTCTCTGTGGGACTCAGGCTTACTAATGCATTGAATTCAGATGATGGCTGGATGTCTGGAATGGCCCAACTCATGTATCTGACTGCTTATGCTGGCTGTTGGCTGCAATTCCTTGGTTCTTTTCCATGTGGACTTTCATCCTCTATGAGGCTAGAGTTATGGCATGGCAATCTCAGGGCAGGATTTTAGGATAACCAAGTCTGCTGCAAAGGCACTCATTAAACCTCTGCTTGCTTCACTTTTGTCAATGTGATGTTGGCCCAAAACAAGTCATATGTCCAAGCCGAGGGTCACTATGAGAGTGAGTTTAGGTGCAAGGAGTTTGTGGCAAGGAGTTTGTGGCTGATTTGGCTGTTTTTAATCTAGAGTGAAAGTTTTCCCACTCTTCTTCTAAAAACCTATTCTTTTTCTTTTGTAAATGAATTATAATCCCAAATTGGAAAATTATTGCCTGGCACCCTTACTCTGGTATGGTAGACATGGAAGTATTATATAGAAAGAAAAATCATCCATTACTATAGACATCCAAAACTAGCCAATATTGTAATTCCCATTCATATTCCCAACTAAAAGTTGTGTTGAGAGAGAAGAGAAGACATGGACAGAAACAGAGGAAAAGGGAACGAAGAGCTGTACGTTGGTATCTAGAAATGAATTCTACCCCGAGAAATAATAGCACAAGAATGGTGGACAAGGTCATAGCATGTGATACAATAAAATGGGTATAGTAAAAACCATAATGATACAAAAAACACATATATTTACATGAGGCTTTGTAATTTAGAGATCATTTGCTTATGTCTTATGACCTTTCTATCTTCAAGGTAAGTATATAAAGTACTCAAGATAATATTGATTCCTATTTTTCAGTTGATTAAATAAGATTCAGGGAGCTTCATTAACCTGTCCAAGGTCATAATACCGTTAGAGGAAGAACCAGGATCTAAGAATTTCTGATAACCATCCTTGCTCTCGTTCTGTGGTAAAACTTCATGCCAAGAATAAACAAGGAAATAAGTGTCAGGAAGTGAGTTTTGAAACTTTATCAAACAAAATATATTCTAAATAAAGAAATTAATGGCCTTTTTGTTTGTTGTTTGTTTTAGTAGTAATTGATAGAAATATTACATGGGATAGGATTTATTCTCTCCGTACTTCTGAACCAATGAACAGAAAATGGGAAGAAAAACTGAAGCAAATTGAAGAACGAGCATCTCATTATGAGAGGAAACCATTGTCCTCAGTGTATAGACCAAGACTGTCCAAGCCAGAGGAACCACCCTCCATTTGGAGACTATTTCATCGACAAGCTCAAGCTTTTAATTTTGTTAAAAGCTGTAAAGAAGTAATTTCCTCCTCCTCCTCTTCTTTGTCCTCCTCTTCCACTTCCTCCTCTTGTTTCTTCTTCTTCTTCATTATAATTTGTTTTTTTTTTTTTAAATCTATTATTTGTCTTCATTTCAGGCCATGTATTCTACCAAGAGAATTTAATGGGAATCTTAATGGCATGTGATTTAGGAAAAATATCCCTGTGAATCATTTACCATTTAATTTATATTAGTAATGAAAAAGAATGACACGTCCAGTGCCCATTAGATTTTAAAAATTGTAATGACATTTAAATGAAGCTTTATGCTTAGAGGGCGGGGAACCATGTTTTTTCCAACACATTAAGCAAGTGGGAGAAAGGAGTGTCAGCCTTTCAAAGAACATGGTGCTCAAAAACAAAAATCACTAAATCAAGCAACAGATGTGTATTTCACATTCTTTTTTTCTTGGGCACTGTGGGGAATATAAAGAAATGTGAAAGAAAAGATAAGATGCATATATGATAGCAGAAATGTACTGTGAGTCTGATCACTGTTGCTGTCTAAAAGCTCCAAGTGCTGGAAGTTTTAGAAGGACCTCTTTTCTCTAGTCAGGATATGCTTCCTCAAATCTCATGAGAATGGCTTAAGAAATACCTTTCTTAGTCATTTTGGGTAAACCTAATTCAAGCAGCAGCAATTAAAATACTGACAGATTCATCTGAACTTGAATTTTAAAAAGATATAGATAGGGGTATGCTTGTTGGACTTGCTAATCACCAGTCTGTAAAATTTATTTCAAAAAGATTTTTGTTAGGGTTAAGTAACTGAGTCCTGTGATTTTTTCACTCATGAAAAGAAAAATATGCTCACCAGCTACCTTTAGCTAAGAGGAAACAAAAGAACTTGTGGATGTATTGCTCTATTAGAAGAAACTTTATGGCAGGAGGCATGGACAATTATATTTAAACCACTATCACAGTAATTAACCTTTAAAAAAATGGTTTCGGCTGGGTGTGATGGCTCACGCCCATAATCCTAGCACTTTAGGAGGCTGAGGCAGGCAGATCACTTTGAGGTCAGGAGTTCGAGGCCAGCCTGGCCAGCATGGTGAAACCTTGTCTCTACTAAAAATACAAAAAATTAATCAGGCATGGTGGTGGGCGCCTGTAATCCCAGCTCCTTGGGAGGCTGAGGCAGGAGAATTGCTTGAACCTGGGAGGCAGAGGTTGCAGTGAGTCAAGATTGTGCCACTGCACTGTAGCCTGGGCGACAGAGTAAGACTCTTGTTTCAAAAAAACAAAAAAAAAGTCTCCTACATACATTTTTATATGTACTAGGGAATTTACTAATTAATTTTAGCCCAAATCATTAAAAGATAAGTTTAATTTCATAAAACTATCATAGGAAATCAAATGAGTAATATTTTTAAGAGTGGTTTCTCTTCTTTTTTCTCTTCGGTCTGCATATTCTAATTGTTTTCACCTTTTATATGAATGATTAAAAAATAGGTATAATTAGATTTTGAATGGCATAAACCTAGTGACTATTTGTCTTGTATTTAATAATACAAATGTTCAAATTACAGTTTCTGAAAACTTGAATGAAAAATTCTTTATGAACATTCAATAGCTACAGTTGAATTTAGGTTTGCATTTTGTGAATTTTTCTAATCTTTTTTGATTTTATTTAGGACGTTCACGTATTTGCTTTGGAATACAAAGTAGGAGATGGACAACGTATTTACCTTGTGACAACCTATGCTGAATTTTGGTTTTACTATAAATCCAGGTAGGTGGCATGCAGCAGAACCACACATTAAGCTAGAGTTCCATTTCCTTTGCCTAGGAATTTTGGTGAAATTAGTTCAGGCTGAATTGGCCTCCACAGTTTGTGACCACACTATTAGTTGCTCCTTTACTCTCAGAATTGAAATCTGGAGTTTTCTTGTCATAGCAATGCTTGAGTATCTCACCAGGTGCTGGGAGAAAATAGTCATGCACGTACATAGTCATGCATGTACACGAATATATGTGTGTACTCAAAGGGAGTTTTGAAATCTCTCTTTTGCAAACAGGTATTAAATTATACTATTAATCACAAAGGAATATTTATGTTATTTACCTAGTAATAAAGAAATATCTGCTTTATCTTGACTTTATTATTACTATTTTAAATTGTTATTAGCTTTTTTATTTTTTTAAGACAGAATTTCACTCTTGTTGCCCAGACTGCAGTGCAGTGCCATGATTTGGCTCACTGCAGCCTCTGCCTCCCGAGTTGCTGGGATTACAGGTGTCTGCCACCATGTCCGGCTCATTTTTATGTTTTTAGAGATAGGGTTTCACCATGTCGACCAGGCTGGTCTCTAACTCCTGACCTCAGGTAATCCACCCACCTCGGCCTCCCAAAGTGTTGGGATTACAGGTGTGAGCCGCTGCACCTGGCTTATTAGCTTTATTTTAACTGAGTGATCTACTCAAGTATTTCTCTTTTTTTCTTTCTTTTTTTTTATTTTTTAAATATTTTTGAGATGGAGTTTCACTCTTGTTGCCCAGGCTGGAGTGCAATGGCATGATCTCGGCTCACTGCAACATCTGCCTCCTGAGTTCGAGTGATTCTCCTGTCTCAGCCTCCCAAGTAGCTGGGATTACAGGTGCCTGCCACCATGCCTGGCTAATTTTTGTATTTTTAGTAGAGACGGGGTTTCTTTATATTGGTCAGGCTGTCTCGAACTCCTGACCTCAGATGATCTGCCCGCCTCAGCCTCCCAAAGTGCTGGGATTACAGGTGTGAGCCACCATGCCCAGCCGTATTCAAGTTATTTCTCAGACTTGTGTAATGTATGGAAAAGGAGAGTAAATTGTTATGTATGGCCTATATTGATTTAGAATACTTTTATTCGAAAGTTGCTAAGTAGCTTCAAATATGAAACTGGATTTATTTATGTTTATATACATGCAACACCAGTTAGAGTTGAATGAAAATCATTAGGATAACGTGACAGATGTTTTGCTGAAACTGTCTCATCTTGCAATGTAAATATGGTACCGACTGCTCCAGGATGTGTATGGGTGTATGTGTATGTGTGTGTTGAGTTCCTCCACTACCTGTGCCACCTGATGATACAATTTTCACATAACTTTTCCCTCTTCAAATTACTACAAGTCCTTAATTTGTATAGGGTGCCATCTGAACTTTAGTCCAAATTATCATTTGCAAATTAAGTCAGCATCTCTCCCTATTTAACCCATGTCAAAATCATTCCTCTTAATGCCAGAAAGAATGTAACTGCAAACAGCCTTGAGAGCTTATCAAAGTCAGGTGATTCAGAATTTTTTAACCAATTTTTAAAATATTATCTTCCAATGAAAATACAGAATTTAAAAATTCTCATGGAAAATTAATGGAATCTGAAGAATATGGCATCCTGAAAAGAACATTTTTTTTTCAAAGAAAATTTGTTTCATGGTGACACTAAAAACAAATATAGAGGTATTACACAATATCAAACTCATCTGTAAATAAATAGCACTGTAAGATTGACTGTATTTTCCAGTTAAATAATGTTACAGGATATAATTGTTGCATTTTGCTTGATGGAAACCCTTGATACGATGAGCCATAAACCTATGGTGAACAGTTCACTTTATCATGTTCTTATTTCATACTTGTATGTAGTGAAAGCACAGTTAACACAGTATTTGCAATGTAAGATAAACTGCCACGATTTAAAAGGAATAAGATAGAGGCTGGGCATAGTGGCTTACACCTGTAATCCCAGCACTTTGGGAGGCTGAGGCAGGTGGATCACCTGAAGCCAGGAGTTCAAGATCAGTCTGGCCAACTTGGCGTAAACCCTGTTTCTACTAAAAATGCAAAAATTAATCAAGTGTGGTGGCACGTGCCTGTAGTCCCAGCTACTCGGGAGCCTGAGGTAGGAGAATCGCTTGAACCCAGGAGGAGGAGGTTGCAGTGAGCTGAGATAACACCACTGCACTCCAGCCTGGGCAACAGAGCTGACTCAGTCTCAGTCAATCAATCAATAAAGGTATAAGATATCAATTTAACAATCTTGAATTATTCAATTTAGAAAAAATCTCTTACACTGCTATGAAGTTATTCCTGAAAATGCTGTGTGCAAGCTTTATTTTGATTTGGAATTTAACAAACCTGCCAACCCAGGAGCTGATGGGAAAAAGATGGTTGCATTACTCATCGAGGTAAATGGCCGACCCAAGTTTTCCTTATTTCTATCTATTCAGCTCTTCATTGGCTTATTCATTCAGTGAATTCAACCTACATAATATGTAAGTTCTGTATCTCTTCTTTTTCTTGCTACTGTTCCTTTTGACTTTGATTTTTTAATATTACTTCTATGAGTAAACTGTGAAAAGGAAGGAAAGTTCAATTTATGTTCATATAGTTTGCGATTTTACTGTCTGGTAAAAAAAAAATGCTTTGAAAAAGATGTCAGTTTGGAAGTTTTCTATATATTAAAATTATATATTAATTCTCTGAATTCCATTACAAATAGCTGACTTTGGTAAAAGCCAGGCAAAATAATTTTTACTGTAAAAATTGGGTACTGAGATGAACCTCAAGAACACTGACTACAAACAGTATCAGATTTTTGGAGCTTGTAGGAATTTTGGAAATCATCTTATCTTGTCCTTTTCGAAATGAGGAAATTAAGGCCCAGACGAAACGAATTCCTATTCAAGGCCCTACAACCAGTATTGGTAAAACCTTGTCTATAAATATAGTTATCACTGTTTTTAAGTAAGAGAAAAATATTGTAGCTCTTTATTTTTGATTTAGCTGTGTCAACCAGGAAGTTACTAATAAAAGGAATAGCATGGACCTGTGCAGCTAAGTTCTATTAGGATTATTTCAAAAAAATTTTCAGATTGTATCACAGGAAGTTGTGTTAAAATTGTACTGACTATTCTTCAGCCTAAGTGTAGGTGCTGACACTTACTGACTAGCTGTTTTTCTTTTAAATGTTAACTGAATAATAATGTTATAGATTACCCATTTTATAACTTTTAAAATATATCCAAATTAAAATGTTTTTGATAAAGAGTATCTGCTAGTATTCTCTGTTGGACCTCTACATGCTTGATTTTAAATCTTTTTGAAAATGTATGTGAATGCTATTTAAAAAATATACAGAATATTAGCCTTATCCTGGCTTTGAAGCAGAATAAATATATATAAATTCCCCCACCTCCCCCCCAAAAACCCCCAAATTATGTTTTTCTTAAAATAGCCATTGAACCCTTAAAAATAAATTTAGATGCTTATTTCATTACAGCTGGTAAATTCTGTTTAATTTTTAACCTAATCATTATTATCATTATTATTATTATTTTTGAGACAGAGTCTCTCTCTGTCACCCAGGCTGGGGTGCAGTGGTATAATCTCAGCTCACTGCAATCTCTGCCTCCCAGGTTCAAGCAATTCTCCTGCCTCAGCCTCCCGGGTAGCTGGAATTACAGGTGTGTGCCACCATACCTGGCTAATTTTTGTATTTTTAGTAGAGACAGGGTTTTGCCATGTTGACCAGGCTGGTCTTGAACTCCTGGCCTCAAGTGATACACCCATCTCGTCCTCCCAAAGTGCTGGGATTATAGGCGTGAGCCATGGTGCCTGGCCTAATTATGTTTTTAATAATTCATAAATATTGACTTTCTTCTAAAGTCTAAAGTAAGATTTCTTGTGTAGTTTCTCCGTGGGCTACAAGGAACCTCGATTCAGATATTTTCACTGCCACTTAACATTACATATTAACAAAGAAGTACCACATTGCATTAGAAACTAGAAATATTTCTAATGAACACTGGAGGAAATTTCATTTGTAACACTATTAATAAACACTGGTATGGCAAAGACTATGTAGATGTTTAGAATTTTTTTCTCCTTATTCTTTATACCACTTTTTCCAAATGAGTCTTGAGTAGCTAATCTTTTGCATCAGCAAAACTGTTGGAAGAAACTGTATAAATCTAAGTTCAAAATTATACAGCAGTTTTATTTAACATGTTTACCATGTTGATAGAACTGTTCTCATTGGATTACTTAATATAATGCTTTTTATAATGATTGCATTGAAATTAATTTCATTTATTGGTTACTTTGTATGCAATAAGTTTATAATCCAGTAAGTACTTTTTCCTTTGAGTCTTACTGTGAGGAGGCATAATTAGGTTAGCTATTATGTTAATTTAGCAGATGGTTAATAATAATTAGTGATAATGTAAAATACCCTTTGGTTCAGTAGCTAAACTGGCACATTTCAATAAGCCACTTCTCCCCAGTTAGAATGAATTCTGGTGCTAATGTATTTTATTAGGACCACGTTTCAGGGCAACATTATCCAATCATGTAAGTTTAACTCCTGGATTTTATAATTTAATTATTTAAGTAACTTAAAGTTTTAATTAAAGTTAATCTTGGGAAAGAGAATTTAGGAGTGTATGATTACTTGTCCTACCTAAAGTGTCACTGAATTTATTCTCTGTGGCTCCAAAAGTACAGAAGTCAACTTCATTCATCAGTTTTTAGTCTCTACTAAGTGTCAGGCACTGTGCCTAGGCACTAGGATTATCAAGTGGTAAGTCAAAGAGACATAATTTCTGATGGCATACACTTTGTAGTCTAATGGAGGATAATAAATTAGGATAGATTTAGCTGCCATAATAGTGGCTTAAACAAGACAGAAACCTGTTTCTCCCCCAAGTAATATCTAATGTGGCTCTGTACTGTTAGGGACTAGGCTTGTTGCTTTGCTGTCCCTAAGATGTTGCCCTTCTTCCATTGTCCAGGATGGCTCATACCACTGTGTCTGCATTCTAGACAGTACAAATGGAGAAGGGGAGGGCATGCCCTTTGCCTGCTAGAGGATCACTTAGAAATGGCATACTTTCCTTCTCACATCCCATTGGCCGACTTAGTGGCCACACCCTGCTGTAGAGGAGCCTGGGAAATGTAGTCTTTGTTCTGGATGGCCTCCAATCTAGCTAAAAATCGGGATTCTGTTTCTACAGAGGGAGAGAACAAATATGGAGGAAGAGCCTCTGTAATATAGATAAAACATGTCAAACTAATCACATAAATCAACCTAAAATTGTAGCTGTGTAAGTCTATAAAGAGAGAAAGAGTATATAGGGGGAATTTGATGTAGAGAGGGAAATCAAGGAAGCCCTTTCTGAGAAAGTGAGAATTTACAGAAGAGTAAAGCCAGAGAGCATGAGGGGAGTGTGGTGTTGTAAGAATGCCCAAACATTATTAAAAATACAATTTGTGGCCTAACTTTTAGGTATCCAAAGTGACGGCAGTTCATAAACATTTTTGCTCATGTCAAGATAATACTGCATGGTAGTTCTTAGTAGCTTCATTTTGCAAATGAGAAGATTGAAGCTTTAGGGACTTGTCCTAAGACTGCACAACCAAAACTTTTAAGCAGTTACATGTGCCAGGCACTGTGCTAAAAATTTCATTTTCTTGTTTGTTCCTTACAGCAACTCCAAAAGGTAGCTGCTATTGTTATTCCGGTTTAGCAGCTGGGAAATGTTAAGGTTTAGATTTGACCAAAGTCATAGAGCTGGCAGATGGCAAAGCCCAAACGGACACTGAGCCGTCTCTGACTCCAGCCCCGTGCTTGCTGCCTTTCTACTGTGCATGGCCTTCTTGCTCCGTGCCATGTAGTCTCAGAGGCTGTATTCTTAGAGCTGAATTCAGGCTCAGTATGAATTAGACACCTTCTGGTAAATAAAACCATTACAAAATAAATTAATGACTTTTTTTTTTTTTTTTGGAGACAGAGTCTCTCTCTGTCACCCAGACTGGAGTGCAGTGGCACCATCTTGGCTGACTGCAACCTCTGCCTCCTGGGTTCAAGTGATCTTCCTGCCTCAGCCTCCTGAGTAGCTGGGATTTACAGACACCCGCCACCACGCCTGGCTAATTTTTGTGTTTTTAGCAGAGACTGGGTTTTACCGTGTTGGCTAGGCTGGTCTCAAACTTCTGACTTCAAATAATCTGCCCGCCTTGGCCTCCCAAAGTGCTGGGATTACAGGCATGAGCCACTGTGCCTGATCAGAAATTAATGACTTTTTAACTCATAGATTATATTTAAAGAGATGCTTATTTGCTCATAGAAAAATTTTAAGACAAAAAATATAAATTATTTGCATTTTACTTGTGTTTTTAGTATGTGTGTAAAGCGCTTCGAGAGTTATATGGTGTTAATTGCTCAGCTGAAGATGTTTTGAACTTGGATTCTAGCACTGATGAGAAATTCAGCCGGCATTTAATATTTCAGCTCCATGATGTGGCATTTAAAGATAATATTCATGTTGGTAAGTATACTGCTTTTTAAAAACCATGGAGTTGTATTCAAAACTCGTATGCTCTTGTTCCTCTTAAAATTTTGTGCATACATATCAACTTTTATGGTCATTAACTTATCCTAAAAAATGTGATGTGGGCTGAGTGCAGTGGCTCACGCCTGCAATTCCAGCACTTTGGGAGGCCAAGCTGGGTGCATCACTTGAGGCTAGGAGTTTGAGACCAGCCTGGCCAAGCTGGCAAAACCCTGTCTCTACTAATTAGCCGGGCATGATGGTGCATGCCTGTAGTCCCAGCTACTCGGGATGCTGAGGCACAAGGATTGCTTGAACCCAGGAGGCAGAGGTTGCAGTGAGCCAAGATGACACCACTGCACTCCAGCCTAGACAACAGAGTGAGACCCTGTCTTAAAAAAAAAAAAAAAAAAATGGCAATGTGTTTCTTCATGTTTTCAAGATGTTCCTTTAGCTTTAGACCTGCTTTCTTTTCTAGACACATCAGCCTATTCAGGACTTCTTTGGTATTTGCATCTCTAATCATAGATACTGGGATGGCTATCCATGTCCAGATAGTGGTTTCTGCTCCAACAGGATTTATTTCAGTTTCCTGGAAAGTTCATGAGAGGCCTTTCCATTTCAAGCCTTATCTGCAATGTTGCTTCTGGATTTCTGACCTTTGCTTCGGCCTTGCTTTGGGGCTTCGGTCCCAGGTCGTATCAAAGATGACTTGTTTATTGTTCCAGGCAGAGCTTCAGGGTTGGGATAATTCTAGAGGTACAAGTCTGAAAGTGAAACTAGATTACTTATCTCAGGCCTGGGCATTTAGAGATGTAGGCCCAGGTGTTAAACATTAAGTCAGTCCAAAGGAGAAACACAGGTAGAATGGGAACTCCATAATGGAGGTCTGAGCAGAAGCCAAATCCTGAGAGCTTATCAAAGCAGGGATAGGGCAAGGGTCCAAACAGCAGATGATTGACTGAAGCTCAGGTAACAGGTAATTTGGTTCAGAGCTACTAGTGTCTTAGAGTTTCACAGCCACCTACAATAAAAGGTGTGGACATAGTCACTAAAGCACTGGCATGAAAGTCAAGAACCTGATTTCTGGCTTAGGGGAAGGTGGCCACAGAAACCCAGCGTGCTGTTTTCATAAGGCTCTCATCACCTGCCTGTTTCCTGTTAGCTCAGCTGGACGTTCCATCTCGGTCTCTCTCCCTAATCCTGTGAGAAACACACTCACCCATCCAAACCTAAAGAATGAACTTAGAGGCTCGGAGAACGGTGAAAGTGAGACTTTTTTTTTTTGAGACGGAGTCTCGCTCTGTTGCCCAGGCTGGAGTACAGTGGCACGTTCTTAGTTCAGTGCAACCTCTGCCACCTGGGTTCAAGTGATTCTCCTGCCTTAGCCTCCCGAGTAGCTGGGACCACAAGCGTATGCCACCATACTCAGCTAATTTTTTGTATTTTTAGTAGAGATGGAGTTTCACCATGTTAGCCAGGATGGTCTTGATCCCCTGACCTTGTGGTCTGCCCGCCTCGGCCTCCCAAAGTGCTGGGATTACAGGGATGAGCCCCTGGCCTGTTAGGACTCTGTCGCCATCAAACTGTGTGAGAAGCTGTTTCTGTCATGTCTGAAACCCTAGGCCTTACTTAGATTAGTGTTCCTCTGGGTTGCAGAGAATGTCCAGAGTTATTGTGTCAAAGCATTTACTACTTCCTATGGTCATTTCCTGTTTTCTTTGTCATCTCCTCTATTCTACTTAATGTTTCTCTAGGGCAGGGACTGTTTCTTACTTTTGTATTTCCAGAGCTTAGCCCATAATAAAAATATCATTATCAATAATATTACTAATATTATTAATATAAGAATAACAACAACAATAGTAAATACAAGTTGGCAGCCTCATCTCCCGCCACCCTGCCCTTTTCATTCAGCTTCTATCATGGGCCACATTTTCTGTAGTGCTTGGGCCTCTGCACTTGCTGATGCGGCTGTCTAACACGATGTGGTCTGTTCACCTGGTCCTCCTTACTGTTCGTGCATTCATCCAGAAGGTATTAATAAATACCTTTAGGGACTTGTCTTAAGGCTGCACAACCAAGGCTTTTAAGCAGTTACATGTGCCAGGCATTGTGCTAATTTCTTAATTTCATGTTCTTGTTTACTGCTTATAGCAACTCCAAAAGGTAGGTGCTGCTGTTATTCCTGTTAAGCAGCTGGGGAATGTTAAGGTTTAGATTTGACCAAAGTCACAGAGCTGGCAGATGGCAAAGCCAAAACAGAAACTGAGCTTCTCTGACTCCAGCCCCCGTGCTTGCTGCCTTTCTGCAGTGTGTGGCCTTCTTGCTCAGTCGTATCTGAATAAATCCCTTCCGAATGAATGCGTGAATAGTGAGGAGGCACTGCTGTCAGGGTGTGGAGGCAGAGCACCAAACAGGCTATTTCTTTGCTTGCTGTTTACTGGTCATTGTCTGCTCTATGACTACTAGCCACAGGCCGAAAGCTGAGAATCTCTTGCTCAGGAAGGAGAGAATAGAAATTTGTGAGGTACCAGCAGTTTTTGCTACAGGTATCTTCTGAAAGCAGATGGCATTCATCTGGGCTTTCAGTCAGATTTCATTGTATAGTCAAAGGTAAGAAAGGCTTTACAGTCAGAACAGCATAAGCAAAGCTATGGAGATAAGAGTGTGTGGCTAATAATGGGGGACAGTGAATGGTCTAGTGTGGCTGGAGAGATGTGATCAGGCCTGGTAACTGGGCTGTCACCTCAGCACCTTTGCCCTAGAATTAGGAGCTGCCAGAGCCAGAGGTGCAGAGAATATGAAGTGATTCAGAATTTTCCCTTTTTTCTTCCCTTAGTGTATCTTTGGATGACATTTCTAGTTGCTGTTGTCAGCCTTTCAGAGAAGAGAATTCAGTTAAATGTAAGAGATCCTAGCTCTTGATCTGCCTAAAACTACTCTTCTGTCAGTTTGCTGTCATACCTCAAATTTCTGACTGACTCGTCTTTTGAGTTATTTCCAGCAAATAAGATAGTTCCTGTCCTCATGAGGGTTGGGAGCAATAAGATCCTGGAAGGGAAGTAGAAAGCAGTGTGGTTTGCTGGGGCCAATGTGTTAGCATTGATGCTGGTGACAGGCCTCATGTCATGGTCCTGGCCATGGTTGCTTCATGCCAGGGTTCCAAGGCCTGTGGCCTCCCCAGCACTGCCATTGCCTCCGTTTCTGCAACCGTGCACTCTCTTCTCTTGTTGTGTGGGGTCAAGTAACTGCAATGTTAAGTTTTCAGGAAAATTAGCTTTATCAGTTTGGGTTTAGATTGCTTTGTTGTCCTTTGATGTGTTGTGATTTCTTTCCACTTGGTGTTTACTTTCTCTCCCTCATTCCAGAAGGAATCCATCCCATACCAGCATATCATTGCGAGACCAAATGCTTTTGCTTTGATTTTGACATTTATTGCTTTGTAAGAAATTGGATTTGTTTCTTTGAGTAGGGAAGTAATTTTTTTTGTTGTTTTGTTTTTGTTTCTTTGTGAGACAGAGTCTCACTCTGTCACCTAGGCTGGAGTGCAGTGGCATGATCTTGACTCACTGCAACCTCCTCCTCCCAGGTTCAAGCAGTTCTCTTGCCTCAGCCTCCAAGTAGCTGGGATTACAGGTGTCCAGCACCACGTCCAACTTATTTTTATATTTTTAGTAGAGACGGGGTTTCACTATGTTGGCCAGGCTGGTCTCGAACTCTTGACCTCAAGTGATCCGCCCACCTCAGCCTCCCAAAATGCTGGGATTACAGGCATGAGCCACCACAGCTGGCTGAGTAGTCAAGTAATAAAATCTAATGTGAAGAAAGAAAATTTTGAATTTAGAGCATGCATTTGTTATAATGTAAGGACCCAAGCCTTTCTGGTAAATAAAGTGAAGAATGAATCTAAACAATAACAGTTCTACAGATTAAAATTAAATTTTTCTTACAATATTGCATTTCTTAAGTATTGGTATACGTGAAGCAACTTAATAGCCAAATTATTTGATTTCATGGTGTAAAATGTGAGAGTTCGAAGAAGTTCTGGATTTTCTTACCAACTTTTCATGGTACAGATAGGACTACTGTTACTCAGAGTTCTTAGAATAAATGTTGAAGTACAGTAAATGTATCGAATTGCTTTTGTTGTGGATGTTAGCTCCGAGGCCGTAGTCCATTTTGTGTCCAGTTTGAGGCAGAGGTAGGAGCAGCAGCCTGGGGGCTGACGGCTGTGAAAGCCAGGGTTTGCAGGGGCATGTCGTGGCAGGTAAAGGAGAGAAAATAAGCTCTTGAGAAATTTGCCAGCACCCCGACTCCCTGAGATTTCCTCAGTGCTTCTGTCTGTTAGCTGAGCAGCAGTTTCCTTATATAAACCTTCATTCTTCATTATTATTATTTTTATGATCCCTTAAGGGCACGAGGCCCTTCATTCTTTAATCATTGAATGTCCCAGTATGTGTTAATAAGTAGTGTTTTCTGGATGACAGCCTCTTAGGCTCAGGCCCCTACCGGCAGCATTGACACATCTTCTCAAATGAACTTTCCCTTCTAAGATGATTTGTTTACATCTGACACCAGGCTCCCAAGTCAATGGACTTGAAAAGGTAAACGATTTCACAAAAGGAAGGAAGTCACAGGACTGGCGTGTAACAATATATAGCAACTTGGTTTTGAAACCAGAAATTAAAAAATGGTTTTCTGTATAAAATTGTCATGTGTGGATTCATGGCTAGACCTTAAGATATGGTGTGTGGAAAAGAAGAATCGGGTGAATCATAACAGCTTTTTTCCTCAGGTAATTTTTTGAGAAAAATTTTGCAGCCTGCTCTTGACTTGCTTGGCAGTGAAGATGATGATAGCGCTTCAGAGACAACAGGCCACGGATTTCCCCATTTTTTGGAAGCACCTGCAAGACAAGGATTTTCTTTCACAGAGAAGGCTACAGGGGAAAGCTGGACATTGAATTCAGAGAAACTGGAGATGCTGGGGTCAGCTGAGCAAAGCAGTCCTGACCTTTCGTTTCTAGTTGTGAAGAATAACGTGGGAGAGAAGCATCTTTTTGTGGATCTTGGTAAGTAAGATTGACAGCTGTCTCTATCAGACGGTCCTGGTGCTTTCGTGAGTGACAGGTTGGTGCCCACTCGTCACCGTGCTTGGGATTCTCGCTTCTTCCACTGCCCAAGTCCCCAGCAGGATGCAAGCAGCGAGTTCAGGTGCTGGGAATCTGTGAGGTTTTTCTCCAGAGATCTTAGAGGGGTCCAGGCCGGCCTGAGCTCCAGCAGAGGATGGCTGTGGCTGCCTTCTGCTCTGCGTGTCCAGAGGATTCCTGTTGAGGGAGTTTTACAGGAACAGTTGGACCAGCTTCTTCCAGGACTGCTGAGAGGTTAAGTCAGAGTACAGACATTTAAAAAACAGACCCAGTGTAAAAGCAGTACTCACGTGGCGCAGTGAGCCTGGCTGCTTTCCTCGCCGAAGATCTCAGTGGTCGTGGCAGGGCCCATTTCATCAGCTTTCGTGCTGTGTTGAAACCAGTGATTTCTTAACCCAGTGTGGCTTTGCTAGGCCTTGGTCTCAGAGCCTGAGGATGTCAGAAGCCCTGGGCTGACAGGACTTGAGCATAATTCAACAACAGGCCAATCAAGACCCTAACACAACAGCTCCCATTTGGTGAACTGCACCTCATTTTTATACTGAGGCTCTAGCTTATGATTTCAAAAGCCATGACAGCAGCAGGTTTTTTCTTTTTCTTTCTTTCTTTCTTTTTTTTTTTAAGACGGAGTCTTGCTCTGTCGCCAGGCTGGAGTGCAGTGGCGCTGTCTCGGCTCACTGCAAGCTCCGCCTCCCGGGTTCAAATGATTCGCCTCCCTCAGCCTCCTGAGTAGCTGGGATTACAGGTGCGTACCACCACGCCCGGCTAATTTTTGTATTTTTAGTACAGACAGGGTTTCACCATGTTGGCCAGGCTGGTCTGAGACTACTGACCTCATGATCTGTCTGCCTCAGCCTCCCAAAGTGCTGGGATTACAGGTGTGAGCCATTGTACCGCCAGACAGCAACATTTTTGCTGCTGGCTTTGAACACCTCGGAGAGCTTCAGTGTGTAAAGGCTGAGGGAAGGTAGGTTTAAGGTATAGGTCAGAATCCCAGGCCAACAGTGTACCGAGATTAGGGACGTGTTCCTGCTAGACTTCATGTTTTTCTAGCACCCCTGGCAATCGAGCACCAGAACTTGGAAAGACAGAGGAGTGTGAGGTGGAGCAGTCACACAGGCAGAGGCTCCTCCTTCCAAGCCTGACAGGTTTTGCTTTATGAGCAGGATGTCGTCTCCGGGCGGGACTAGCCTGCAGTCAGTGAGGCCGAGTGCAGAACAGGAAGTTGATCCAGGGAGAGCAGCAGTGGCCAGCACCTGTCTCTGCTTCTACCCCAGTATAACACAGTACCCCAGGTCACAGCACACCTAACCTTGGAAGTCAGGCTACCGGACTAGCAAGAAAATCTCCCTGGTCCTCTTGATACATATGCCTGGATTTACTCACATATCCAGAGAGGGTGGGGAAGTCGTTTCCTAAACCATCCTTGGAAAGTTCAGAGATTTCATAGTATATGCTGAAATCTTGTTAAGAAACTTTTTTGTTGAAGTATAACATTTATACAGAAAAATATATACTTGATTACAGAATAAACACCCCTTGTCACCACACTACCCAAGACAAGAGATAGATGACCAGGACCCCCAACTTCATCCCCCTTCCAGTCAGGACCCCTCCCTCTGTCCCAGGGTAACAACTATTCTGTCCTCTAACTGTGTGCGTTAGTTTTGCCTGTATTTTACTGTGTAATTGGAATCACATACAGTTGACTCTTCAACAATGCAGGGCTTGGGGAACCAACTTCTCTGTGTAGATCAAAATCCATGTATAACTTTTGACTTCCCAAAATCTTCATTACTGATACCCTACTCTTTTTTTTTTTTGAGACAGAGTCTTGCTCTGTCGCCCAGGCTGGAGTGCAGTGGCGCGATCTCGGCTCACTGCAAGCTCCGCCTCCTGGGTTCACGCCATTCTCCTGCCTCAGCCTCCGGAGCAGCTGGGACTACAGGCGCCCCCCACACGCCCGGCTAATTTTTTGTATTTTTGGTAGAGACGGGGTTTCACTGTGTTGGCCAGGATGGTCTTGATCTCCTGACCTTGTGATCCACCCGTCTCAGCCTCCCAAAGTGTTGGGATTACAGGCGTGAGCCACCGCGCCCGGCCAAGGATCACTTTTGACTGTGAAACGCAATTGATTGGTGTAATGACCTGCTCAGATGGAGAGGACTGGCATCAGGCGTGTTGTAGGCAGATACCTGAGCTCACTGCAATAGCAAGAAGAGGCGGCTAAGAAATTATTGTGGTAGTGTAGTATGTACTATGGTTAATCTTACGCAGTTATGATTTAATACTCTGTCTTTACATTTGTTTAGATTTTTCCCAACTGTGAATGGCATCATGTACAGTCTGCAAGGGTGTGCATATGTTTGGATAAATTTTAACTTTTTTATAACAGACTTATGTACTATGGCAGTAAATGATAACTTAGACTAGCTATCTACATATATTTTATGCATTCATGAACACAACTTTTTCTAATTATTTTTAATTATTTTCTAACGTTTTCTAATTTTTTAGGCTATATGGTTCATCTGTGAGTTTTCTGAAATTGTTGTAAGTCCCCCCAAAAGTTTCCAGTATACTTATTGAAAAAAATTTGGCTCACGCCTGTAATCCCAACACTTTAGGAGGCCAAGGCAGGTGGATTGCTTGAGGTCAGGAGTTCAAGACCAGCCTGACCAACATGTTGAAACCCCATCTCTACTAAAAATACAAAAATTAGCCCGGAGTGGTGGTGCATGCCTGTAATTCCTGCTACTCGGGAGGCTGATACATGAGAATCACTTGAACCTGGGAGGCAGAGGGTGCAGTGAACTAAGTTCGTACCACTGCACTCCAACCTGGGCAACAGAGCGAGACTCAGTATCAAAAAAAAAGAAAGAAGAAAAAAAAAATCACATATAAGTGGTGCTATTTAGCTGAAACCCTTGTTATTCAAGGGTAAACTGTAGTGTATGTTTGTGGTTGTCTTTGCACCCTTAGTCATGTCTTTGAGGAACATAAGTCATTAAATAGTAGTAGTAGTCTGATTTTATCAGTGTTTTCATCTGTGGTCAGTGTTTCTTGCATCCTGTTAAAAAAAACTTGGCCTATCCCAAAGCCATGAAGGTATTCTTTTGCTTTTCTTCTTTATCTTCTAAAAGCTTATTGTTTTGCCTTTTATGTTTATGTTTAATTCATTATTTTTTAGAGACAAGGTCTCATTCTGTTGCCCAGGCTGAAGTGCAGTGGTATGGTCCTGCAGCCTTGAACTCCTGGGCTCAAGCAATCCTCCTGCCTCAGCCTCAGCAGTAGCTAGAACTACAAGTGCATACGACCACATTTTTAAATCAATTTCTTCCCTCCCCTCCCTTCCTTTCTCTCCTCCTTTCCCTTCCCTCCTCCTTTCCGTTCCCCCTTCCCTTTCCTTCTCCCTTTCCCGTCCCCCTTCCCTTTCCTTCTCCCTTCCCTTTCCTTCTCCCTTCCCTTCCCTTCTCCCTTCCCTTCCCTTCTCCCCTCCCTTCCCTTCTCCCTTCCCTTCTCCCTTCACTTCCTCTTCCCTTCCCTTCTCTTTCCTTCCCCTTTCCCTTCCTCCTTCCCCCTTCCCCCTTCCCTTCCCCCTTCGCATTTCCCTTCCCCCTTCCCCCTTCGCATTTCCCTTCCCCCTTCCCCCTTCGAATTTCTCTTACCCCTTCCCTTCCCTTTCCCCTTCCCTTTCCTTTCCCCTTCCCTTCCCCCTTCCCTACCACCTTCCCTTACCCTTCCCTTCCCCTTCCCTTCCCCCTTCCCTTCCCTCTTCTGTGTCATTTCCCCTTCCCTTTCCTTTCCTTTTCCCTTCCCTTGCCCCTTCCCTACCCCCTTCTCTTCCCCCCTTCCCTTCCCCCTTCACTTTCCTTTCCCCTTTCCTTTCCTTCCCCCTTCCCTTCCCCCTTCCCTTCTGCCCCTCCCCTGCCCTTTTCCTTTCCTTTCACTGTCCCCCTCTCTGTCTCTTTCTCTCTCTCTCTCTCTCTGAGTATCATAGAGCAACACAATTTTTTTATTTGTTTATTTTTTGTAGAGACAGGGTCTGCTATGTTGCCCAGGCCTCAAGTGATCCTCCTGTCATGGCTTCCCATAATGTTGGGATTACAGGCACAAGCCACTGTACCTGGCATGGCTTTTATGTTTAGATTTACAGTCTACTTGGAAAGGATTTGCTTATTGAGTGAGGAGCAGTCAAGATTCATGTTTTCTTTTGTGAATATCCGGTTGGCTCAGCACTGTTTGTTGAAATGACTGTCCTTTACCTACTGCTCAGCAGTGCCACCTTTGCCGTATACAGTGGCTGTATATATTTTGGTCTGTTTCTGGACCCTGTTCTGCTTCATTGTTCTATTGATCTATTCCTGTCTAATATAGTTTTATATATTAGATAGGCATCACACTGTCTAATATGGTTTTGTTGTAAGTCTTTATATCTAGGAAAAACAATTCCTCCAAATTTGTTCTTTGGAATTTCTTGGTTATTCTTGAGCTTTTGCACTTCTGTTTAAATTTTAGAGTCAGTTTGCCAGTTTACGCAAACAAATCCTGCTAGAATTTTTATTTGGATTGCCTCGACTCTACAGATCAACTTGGGGAGCGTTGACATTTTTATAATACTGAGTCTTCCAATCTATGCACATGGTAGGCCCATCTATTTACTTAGGGATTCTCTAATTTTTATCTATAATGTTTTATAATTTACTGAATAGAAATCTTATCCATATGTTGTTAGATTTATTCTAGATATTTGTTTGATTTTGGTCCTTCCCTTTTCTCTGGGATTTGGCATGGCACAACCTCACTGTCTTAGAAGCTCTCTGGTTGTCTCAAACTTTCCAATACCTGCATCCAGCTTTTCCATTTGTTTCAGTTGCAGAATTGCTGCAGAATAATTGAGTTTGCTATTTCAGAATGTGGCATTCCTCCATGCTGACTGCAGTTTATTTTAATTTATATAGTGCTTTAATTTTGTTTATTTTGTTTACAGCTACATGTAGAAAATACTTATTTCTTTTATTAATGCTATATAAAAATTGAATATTTGCTGACTATAAAACTAATCACAGAAAACATGCTTTCATATTGTTTTATTACTTTTTGATGTAGGAGTTTATACAAGAAATAGAAACTTTCGGCTATATAAATCATCAAAAATAGGAAAGCGTGTGGCTTTGGAGGTTACTGAAGATAACACATTTTTTCCTATACCGTCAAAGGATGTTTCTGACGAATATCAGTATTTTCTCTCTTCTTTGGTCAGCAATGTCAGGTATGTAGTAGCAGCATCAAACCATTTTGTATTCATGAATATTTATTTATTAAACAGTGAATGGCATTGTGTATTACTAAAATGTAAATCATCTAAATTCATTCTACCTTAAGAAAAAGTCAGTTCTTACCGCTCTTTTTTTTGAATACAGAGTCTTGCTCTGTCGCCCAGGCTGGAGTGCAGTGGCATGATCTCGGCTCACTGCCAACTCCGCCTCCCAGGTTCATGCCTCAGCCTCCGGAGTAGCTGAGACTACAGGTGCCCGCCACCACACCCAGCTAATTTTTGTATTTTTAGTAGAGATGGGGTTTAACCATGTTAGCCAGGCTTGTCTCGAACTTCTGACCTCAGGTGATCTGCCCACCTCGGCCTCCCAAAGTGCTGGGATTACAGGCGTGAGCCACTGCGCCCAGCCAGTTCTTACAGTTCTAAGTTAACCTTTCTCTTTTCTCCATTAGCTAAAAGATAATAGTAAAACATATATTTGAACACTTAATTTTCTCTGTATATCTTTTTAGGATTATATTTAGTATATTTTCCAATTTTTCTAAAATGATTATCACTTCTGTAAAGAAGAAAACAGTACTACTGGTATTGCATTTGGAAATATTTTACTATTAAATGCCTCATTTTCTTTTCATGTATGCACATACATATAATTTGTATAGCTCCTTTATTCAAAAAATATTCTTGAGATTATTATTTAGATGATTGTCATTTGTTTTTTCTACTTGATGTTATGAATATTTGTTAAAAATTTGCCAACAATTAATTGTAAATAAAACTTCTAATGCCTGTGTAAAATTTCCATTATATTGACACTCTGGAATTTATTGTGAGTTCTATTGTTGAAACTTTAGGTTCCCATGTTTCGTTCATTTTTTAAAAGTATTTAAGTTGGCTGGGCACAGTAGCACATGCCTGTCGTCCCAGCTACTCAGGAGTCTGAGGTAGAAGGATCACTTGAGCCCAGGAGTTCAAGGCTGCAGTGAGCTATGAATGCACCACTGCACTGCAGTCTGGGTGACAGGGTGAGACCCCATTGCTAAAAACTAAAATAAATAAATTAAAAAAAATAAAATCTGTGAAAGTCATCTTTCAACAGAAATACTGTAACAAGTCATCATTTGATGTTGATAAGTTATTGGAAACTGAACTTTAAACAAAGTGATGGATGATGAATCCAGTTGTTTTTTCTCATCCATGTTATAAGGCAGTGGTCGCCAGGCCACAGACCAGTGGTCTGTGGTTAGGAACTGGACCCTACAGCAGGAGGTGAGCAGTAGGCGAGCGAGCGAGCAGCCACCTTCCCACCTGAGCTCTGCCTCCTGCCAGATCCACAGTGGCATTAGATTCTTATAGGAGTGCAAACCCTGCTGTGAACTGTGCGTGGGAGGGATCTAGGCTGCACACTCCTTATGAGAATCTAATGCCTGATGGTCTGAGGTGAAACAGTTTCAGTCTGAAACCAGCCCATCTCGCCCCCGCCCCACCCGTGGAAAGATTGTCTTCCAGGAAACCGGTCCCTGGTGCCAGAAAGGTTGGGGACTGCCGTTATAAGGAAATGATGTTGAACAAAAGAACATTATTCAAAGACCTGCTAGATGTCATTTCTCTTAGAGTTGCAGTTTCCAAGAATCTATCCATGGCGTTAAATGAGGACTTACTGTATTTGCCTTCATTCCCCATTTTTCTAGGCTGGCAACTTTTTCAGCCCAAAAAATGGTTAAGGTTCAGACTAAATTACCATCACCTTGCCGTAATTCTTTTCCTTTTGCCTTTCTAAATATAATTTTTTTTTTTTGAGACAATCTTGCTCTGTGGCCCAGGCTGGAGTGCAGTGGTGTGATCTCAGCTCACTGCAACCTCTGCCTCACAGGTTCAAGCGATTCTCCTGCCTCAGCCTCCCAAGTAGCTGGGACTACAGGTGTGCACCACCACACCCAGATAATTTTTGTATTTTTAGTAGAGACAGGGTTTCCCCATGTTGGGCAGGCTGGTCTCAAACTCCTGACGTCAAGTGATCTGCCCACCTTGGTCTCTCACAAGTGCAGGGATTACAGGCGTGAGCCACTATGCCCGGCCACTTAAATATAATTTTAAGGAAAAGTTCTCTGGAAATTAATTTTAGTAATTGTCTAAAATACAGTGCTGTAGGGATAGTTGTATCAGGTTATACAGTTAACAGCCGTTACCCAGGAGGATGGAAGATGGATTGTTTTTCTTCATATATATATTTGTACTCTTTGAGTTCTTTTAATAACATGTCTCAGAAGTAAGGTCTGAGTTTCCTACTTTTAAATGGAAATGATACTAACACCTACCTTATAGAGTTGTCGAGAGCATTTAAAAAGTTAAAATTGTGCACATAAAACATATACAGCTGTGCCCAGCTCATGGCATCTGCTCAGTGAATGTTGTTGGTAGCGGTAGTAGTATCTGAGATTCTGAAAATGGGAAGTGCCATAGCAGGAGTGTACAAATTGTATATTTCCTGCCACCCCCTGTGGGCACCAGAATAAGGTCACATTCTTTCTACCACTTATGGAGAAGTGCGAAAAGCAACATTGTTAGTTCTAGCTCCTACGGGAAAAGCAACTACAGCCGGAAGTGCAGGTAGTCTCCCGATTACCCAATCCCGTTTCTTTCACAGTTTAAATACGAATCTTACAGAGGTGGAGGGTTCTTCTACTGAATACAGTCACCTTGTCTTTTGTGTATTCCAAGTCAGTACCAGGTATTTTACTTCTTGAAATAAAGGCTAAATCCTTTATGATTATGAATGTACCTTTTCTTTCCGTTAATTTTAATCTGTTTTTCCCTTTGCTCTCACCCCTCCTTCTTCCTTCATTTCTTCCTATAAGTCACACCTCTACAATTGTTGTAACAAAAAATTCAAAGGCTCTTTATGTTTGGTGAATAGAGTTATATAGTCGTCACCTGGTGTCTGTGGGTGATTATTATCCCAAGACCCCTGTGGATACAAAAATCTGCATATATAAAAGGATGTACTATTTTCACGTAACCCACACACATCCTCCATATATAATACTGTAAATCCTGCTAGATTACCTATACCTAATACAGTACACATGCCATATAGTTGTTATACTATATTGTTTTTAATTTGTATTATTTTTATTGTTATTTTTATTTTTTATTTTCACTTATTTACTTATTTTTTTGAGACGGAATCTCACTCTGTCACCCAGGCTGGAGTGCAATGATACAATCTCAGCTCACTGCAACCTCTGCCTCCTAGGTTCAAGCAGTTCTCCTGCCTCAGCCTCCCATGTAGCTGGAATGACAGGCGCCTGCCACCACACCTGGCTAATTTTTGTATTTTTAGTAGATGGGTTTCACCATGTTGGCTAGGCTGGTCTCGAACTGTTGACCTCAAGTGATCAGCCCATCTCAGCCTCCCAAAGTCCTGGGATTATAGGCGTGAACCACTGCGTCTGGCCTATTTTTATTGTTTTTTAAAAAACATACTTTTGATCTGCAGTTGGTTGAATCTGCAGATGTGAAACCATAGACACAGGGCTTCAGCAGTCCTAGAGTCCCTGATCCATTCTGTAATTGAGGATAGTATTATAAGTAATCACCAACCTACTCTTTAAAAAATTATTTTCTTTAATTGACAAATCATATTTTTTATATGTGTGGGGTTCGTGGTTTTGTGGGCAAATGTGGAATAAATGTCCTAGAACAATTATCTGCTGAACAAAGGATTTTAATGAGAAACTATTAGGAATTCAGCATCCTTTCTGTAGCCAGGCCTTGTAGTTCCAGTGTAATGGTGCTTTGTTTCTTTTACCCATTTCTTCTTCAGGTTCTCAGATACTTTACGCATTCTTACATGTGACCCATCTCAGAATAAACAAAAAGGAGTTGGATATTTTAACAGTATCGGCACTTCAGGTAAATTTTTTGATGTTTGTTTTCTTTTTAGGACAGCATCTCTTTGTCACCCAGGCTGGAGTGCAGTGGTGCCAGCTCGGCTCACTGCAGCCTCCTCCTTCCAGGCTCAAGCCATCCTCCTGCCTCAGCTTCAGAGTAGTTGGGTCTATAGGCGTGCACCACCACGCCCAGCTAATTTTTGTATTTTTAGTAGAGATGAGATTTCACCATGTTGCCCAACTGGTCTCAAACTCCTGGGCTCAAATGATCTGTCTGCCTCAGCCTCCCAAAATGCTGGGATTACAGGTACAAGCCACTGCACGCAGCTACTTCAGGTAATTAAAAAAAAAAATTTCCTATCAAAATGTAAGGATACAGAATCTGTTTTGCCTTTAAAATCTTAAATGTTAAGTATTCATAATCACTGATCTTTCAAAAACTACCTCTAGCCAGGCACAGTGACTCCCACCTGTAATTCCAGCACTTTGGGAGACTGAGGCAGGAGGATCACTTGAGCCCAGGAGTTAGAGACAATCCTGAGCAACTTAGCAAAACCCTATCTCTACAAAAAAATCCAAAAATTAGCCAGGAGTTGTGGTGCATGCCTGTCGTCCCAGCCACTCAGGAGGCTGAGGCAGGAGGATCTCTTGAGGCCAGGAGGTTGAAGCTGCACTGAGTCTTAATGGTGCCATTGCACTCCAGCCTGGGCAGCAGAATCACACCCTGTCTCAGCCAGTCAGTTAATCAATCAATCACTCATCTACTTCAGGGTTTCCATCTCAAACGCAAAAAGTATGAAAAAGATGTTTATTAAGAAGTATTCGCGGCCGGGCACGGTGGCTCACGCCTGTAATCCCAGCACTTTGGGAGGCCGAGACGGGCGGATCACGAGGTCAGGAGATCGAGACCATCCTGGCTAACACGGTGAAACCCCGTCTCTACTAAAAAATACAAAAAACTAGCCGGGAGAGGTGGCGGGCGCCTATAGTCCCAGCTACTCGGGAGGCTGAGGCAGGAGAATGGCGTGAACCCGGGGGGCGGAGCTTGCAGTGAGCTGAGATCCGGCCACTGCACTCCAGCCTGGGTGACAGAGCGAGACTCCGTCTCAAAAAAAAAAAAAAAAAAAAAAAGTATTCGCTGGGCGTGGTGGCTCATGCTCTAATCCGACTACTTTGGGAGGCCGAGGTGGGTGGATCACCTGAGTTCAGGAGTTTGAGAATAGCCTGGCCAACATGGTGAAATCAGTAAAAATATAAAAATTACCCAGGCATGGTGACAGGTGCCTGTAATCCCAGCTACTCGGGAGACTGAGGCAAGAGAATCGCTTCAACCTGGGAGGCGGAGGTTGCAGTGAGCTGAGATCGTGCCACTGCACTCCAGCCTGGGCAACAAGAGTGAGACTCCATCTCAAAAAAAAAAAAAAAGTATTATTCACTAATTTTCATTTTATGGTGTTTTTCAAAAAACTACAAAAATAATGTAAGTTATTTGTATAAAATAAACACATAACAAAATGAAAACTTAAATTTCTTTTTCACCCTTCTGTCCACGATCGGTCAGGTAAATACTGCAGTCATTTTCTATTTAATCTAGAAGAGCTTTTCCTATGTTTCCAATATATGTAGAGAGATCTTCCTCAGTCTTTTAATGGTTGTGTAGTTTTTCATGGTACAGCTCTGTCATAACTTACCTATTCCCCTATTGAAGAACATAGAGCGTTTTTTTCAAATATTTCTTACATAAACCCTCCAGTAAACATTTTTATACACATATTTTCGTATATTGTTGTTATTTATAATAGGGAAAAATTAAAGCAATCTAAATGGACAGCAAAGTGAGTTGGTTATATACTATGAAATCCTCTAGCTGTTTAATTTAAATTTATGAAGCCTGTATAATGTGGAAACACCCATTTGTGATGTTAAAAGAAAAGTAGTCTCTAAAATTATGTGTATAGTATGATTACAAGCTTACTTTAAAATATAGATAACATTTTCTTATGTTTATTTTCTTCTGTTTCATATGTATTTATAGACATTGATTTAGAGTCCACATCTCACATTTCCACATTAATATGTTTTCCAATATTTCTCCAATTATATAAATCATTTTAGTAAGTGAAACATAAACTTCATTTAAAGCAAACTTGGATCACGAGGTCAGGAGATCCAGACCACGGTGAAACCCTGTCTCTACTAAAATTACAAAAAATCAGCCAGGCGCGGTGGCAGGCACCTGTAGTCCCAGCTACTCTGGAGGCTGAGGCAGAGAATAGTGTGAACCCTGGAGGCGGAGCTTGCAGTGAGCCGAGATCGCGCCACTGTACTCCAGCCTGGGTGACAGAGCAAGACTCCGTCTCAAAAAAAAAAAAAAAAATTATACTGGCTGGGTTCGGTGGCCCATGCCTGTAATGCCAGCACTTTGGGAGGCCAAAGCAGGCGGATCATGAAGTCAGGAGTTTGAGACCAGCCTGACCAACGTAGGGAAACCCCATCTGTACTAAAAGTACAAAAATTAACCAGGCATGGTGGCGGGTGCCTGTAGTCCCAGCTACTCAGGAGACTGAGGCAGGGGAACTGCTTGAACCCGGGAGGCGGAGGTTGCAGTGAGCCGAGATCGCGCCACTGCACTCCACAGAGCCAGACTCCGTCTCAAGAAAAAAAAAAAAATTAAGCGATACTTAAAATAGGTCATTCTAAATTACTACAGTAGCTTTTTAGAAAATATAATTGGATTGTCAGTACCTGCCAGCTAAAGGCCTCAGGGCACACACCTGTAGCAGGTCAGCTGAGTGTATTGCCAGGGAAGCGATGGCCAGCACACACCACGGGGAACCTCAGTAAAGTGGGGCATCTCGGGAAGAGGGGTTGGAAAGGACCGGGAGGATTGGATTTGGGCTTGGAATGGGTGGGCGGGGGGAGCACACCAGGAACCCTGGGGTTTGTTCTGCGTTGGGTGTTGTCAGGCACAATTCTATGACTGGTTTTCTTAGTAAAGCTTAACTGAAGGGAAACCAGAATAGAAATTAACAGTGTCATTTGTTAAAAACAAACGAACAAACAAAAACCAGTTGCTTATGTTCACTGAGATCGGGGTGTTGGTCGTTTTTGTGGTTTGGAAGATGTTCCTGTTTTGGCTGTGTTGGGACATGGTCACCCAGGGGTTATCTTCGTTCCTTGAGTCCTCATGACCACAGGGGCCTTATCTGTTGTTGACGTTCTGTGAGTGCCTGTGTTCACAGGACAATGCCCAGGCTGAGGTAGGCGTGCCAGGCTAGCGCATGGCAACACCAAGGCCTGGCTGATGGAGCTAGGCCTGTTCCGGATGTGAGGGACTGCCTTTCTGTTTGCCAAAATGAAGACAGCAGTTGAAATTATTTCAAGCGCTTTTTATGAAATTAGTTAACATTTGACCTAATTGAGAGGTTTGACTTTTACCTGCTTCCTTGTAGTATAACAAACATGAATTGACTGAAATTGCAAAAAGTGAGGGAAGGCCGAGAGATTGCAAAACCCATAATTGTACTCAACAGCATTTAATCAAAATGTAACTTCTCAGCTTTCAGCTATTGTAATTTATACATCATTCTCTCTGTTGCAGTAGAAACCATTGAAGGTTTTCAGTGCTCTCCCTATCCTGAAGTTGATCATTTTGTTCTTTCTTTGGTGAATAAAGATGGCATTAAAGGAGGTAAAGTTAATCTCATCCTTTGTTAACTGTTATATGATAGAGTGATAGTACCTTTAGAAACATTATTTGCATTTTAGGAATTCGGCGTTGGAACTACTTTTTCCCAGAAGAATTACTGGTTTATGATATTTGTAAATATCGGTGGTGTGAAAACATTGGAAGAGCCCATAAGAGTAATAATATAATGTAAGTAATATGAATGATTTATGTGTATTTAACCAATATTATATTTTAAATGTTTATAACTTTAAAGTTGAGACTATGAAAACTATTTTGTTTTAAAAATAAATTTAGTTGTTTTAAATTTCTTTTTTTTTTTCCCAAGACGAAGTCTTGCTCTGTTGCCCAGGCTGGAGTGCAGTGGTGTGATCGTGGCTCACTGCAACCTCTGCTTCCTGAGTTCCAGCAATTCTCCTGCCTCAGCCTCCTAAGTAGCTGGGATTACAGGTGCCTGCCACCACGCCCAGCTAATTTTTGTATTTTTAGTAGAGACGGGGTTTTACCATGTTGGCCAGGCTGGTCTCCAACTCCTGACCTTGTGATCCACCCGCCTCAGCCTCCCAAAGTGCTGGAATTACAGGCGTGAGCCACCGCGCCCGGCTGTTGTATTAAGTTTCTATTTGTTGTATATGGTTAGCATTACATAATATTTAATTTCAGTGTAATTATTGCATCGCTTCTAGCACATCAGCTTTATGTGTACTTTATTTGCTAAGATAATAACCGCTTAGTATATCTGGAGAGGACAAAGGTGGGGTTGAGTAGGGCTGGGAGAAGGCTGTGGGCGGGGTGCAGTGGGGATGGGAAGCGTGCCTCTCCTTCCTGTGGCCCTTGCCACATTATGGACTCTGTGTTGAAAGTGCGCAGGTTTAGACAAGATGGTATCTCCTCAGTTATTGTGAAGAACTGGAGCTAGGATTGTGTTAACTTGTTCAAGACACTGCGTGGTATTGAGGGAACTAGTATTTATTGAATGCTTGGTATATATGCCAGGCCCTGTTTGAGAGATTTTCTTTAAAATGCCCATGGGAAGAGGAGGGAAAGTAAGGGATGAAGTAAAGCCAGAAGTAGGACTTTAAAACATAAAAGGATGATTAGAATAGAGATAAATAGATACCCAGTAGTTATCAGTTATGATGTGAGAAATTTTGCTGTTTTTTATTTCATGTCAAACCAACTCCTTTATCATCGAGCATATGTGGCCTGTGTGCTGGACGTGGGGAAAGGATCGGGACGCTCTTTCTGGGAAGCTGGAAACACATTGGGTAGCATGGTTCGGTGCCATACTTGATGTACTTAGATTAATTCAGTTTTAAAAAAGCTTGCAAAAACTGTAGGCTCAGTACACAAAGCTGTAACACAGAAAACACGAAGGAGATCAGTGCCACAGTCAGGACATAACCGCAACTATCAGTTGACGTATCTTCTGTTCTTTTTTGTACGCATATTAACTTACCAAAAAATCATTATCACATGGTGATCATAACACCTTGTATTATGTCTCCATGATCTATTCTATTTTTTACCCGTAGAATGTATCTTACGTACAAAAGTATAGATAACACACTTTTTTTTTTTGTTTTCTGAGACAGAATCTCGCTCTGTCGCCCAGGCTGGAGTGCAGTGGCGTGATCTCAGCTCACTGCAACCTCCACTTCCTTGGTTCAAGTGATTCTCCTGCCTCAGCCTCCCAAGTAGCTGGGATTACAAGTGCGTGCTACCATGCCCAGTTACTTTTTGTAATTTTAGTAGAGACGGAGATTCACCACGTTGGCGAGGCTGGTCTCAAACTCCTGACCTCAAGTGATCTGCCTGCCCTGGCCTCCCAAAGTGCTGGGATTACAGGTGTGAGCCACCTCACCCAGCCGATAACACACTATACGCACATTTTAAAGACTAAAATGACCACCTGTTGTATCTGCCACCCACCTTAAGAACCAGAACCTGATCAAACCTCAGAAGCACCTGTGGGCCCCAATTTCCCTCTCTCCCTGGCCCTCCAAGATGGTGGCCAGCGTCCCTATTTGTGTTCATCTTTTCCTTGTTTTTATGATTTTTCCATGTATGTTCATATCTCTAAACAATATACTGTTTTCTTTTTTTTTTTGAGACAGTTTCACTCTTGTTGCCCAGGCTGGGGTATAATCATGCGATCTCGGCTCACTGCAACCTCTGTCTCCCGGGTTCAAGCAATTCTCCTGCCTCAGCCTCCCGAGTAACTGGGATTACAGGCGCGCACCACTATGCCCAGCTAATGTTTTGTATTTTTAGTAGAGACAGGGTTTCTCCATGTTGGTCAGGCTGGTCTTGAATTCCCGACCTCAGGTGATCTGCCCGCCTCGGCCTCCCAAAGTGCTGGGATTACAGGCGTGAGCCGCCGCGCCCGGCCATAATTTTGAACTGCATCCTTTCCCTCACTTTGCGGCAGCATGTCTGTGATTCTCACCCACGTTGCAGCGCGCGACTGTTGTTTATTCGGGTCATTGTTGTGCCGCATGCCATGTACGTAAATAGAAATATGCCACAGTTTATTTTCCCACAGTGGACATTTGGGTTGCTATTATAAACCATGAAGGTGGGAACCTTCTTGTACATAGCACCTAGGATACACGTGCAAGACTTTCTCAAAGTGGACTTGCTGTGTCATGGAATATGTACATATTTAATTTTACTAGATCATAAATTGTTTTCCCAAATGGATGTGCCAGTTTATAGTCCTGCCAGCAGTGTTTTGAGATTTTTCTACTGTTCCATGTTCTCACCAACACTTTTGTATTGTTAGGATTAAAAAATTGGTTTTGCTCATCTGGCAAATATAAAACAATATTGTGGTTTTCCTGGGAATTTCCCTGATTAATGAAGTTGAGGACTGGATAATCAAATTACATCCACGCACATCAGAAATCTTGCCCAGTGTCAAGCTTTACTAATGTCAGAATACAAGGAATGAAAAGGCACAAATGGGGCAGAGCAAGGCCCAGGGCATCTGCTCTTTCTGACTCACGCGGAAACCCGAGGCAGAAGTGCGCAACCCTGCGCACAGCGGAAGCGCCAAGGTTATGACTCACCTGCACTGTAGACTCCAGCTGCACAGCTGGGTGACATTTCCGGAAGGCGTGCCTCGCAATGCATCCATTCCAGACTGACTTACCACTGCAATTCTAAAATCAGAAACTTCCCGCAAAGAGCATTCTGTAGGTAAGGACTAAACGCCTAGCATTTGGTCCAGAAGTTCCCAGATTTTCTTGGTTCATGGTTCCCCTGGTGTCTGTTTTTTCACGTTTTCTCTGAGGCCGAAAGAAATACCTGAGCTCTGGTAATGAATTTCAAACAACTTGGTAAGTGTTTATGTCCTAACAGTTTAGTGGCAGTTTGAATAACAGTATCCATTAAACTAAAACAAACAAACAAAAAACCAAACTTTGATTTCATTCTTAAATACTATTACTTATTAATGGGATGTATACTCTCCTTTTTTTCATGTTTTTGAGACAGGGTCTCACCCTGTCACCCAGGCTTGAGTGCAGTGGCATGGCCCAGGCTTGAGGACAGAGTGCAATGGCTCACTGCAGCTTTCATCTCCTGGGCTTGAGCGATATTCCTGCTTCAGCCTCTCGAGTAGTTTAGACTACAGGTGTGCCACCATGGTTGGTTAATTTTTAAATTTTTTGTAGATGGGGTCTCTCTCTGTTGCCCAGGTTGGCCTCGAATTCCTGCCCTCAAGCTATCCTCCCACCTCAGCCTCCCAAAATGCTGGGATTACAGGTGTGAACCACCTCGCCAGGCCTATGTATGCACTCTTAAACTTTGGAATCAGATTAGACACCGGCCTCCCTAACTCATACCTTGTTCTCCGTTGATGTTAATGGTGCTTTTTTGAGACGGAGCCTTGCTCTGTCACCCAGGCTGGAGTGCAATGGCGCGATCTTGGCTCACTGCAACCTCTGCCTCCCGGGTTCAAGCAATTCTCCTGCCTCAGCCCCCTGAGTAGCTGGGATTACTGGTGCCCGCTACCACGCCTGGCTAATTTTTTTTGTATTTTTATTAGAGATGGGGTTTCACCATGTTGGCCAGGCAGGTCTCAAACTCCTGACCTTGTGATCCACCCACCTTGGCCTCCCAAACAGGTGTGAGCCACGGCGCCTGGCCTGATGTTAATGGTGCTTTTTATTATAACCACACCCCAAAACCCAGCTCTACAAAGATGCAGCTGTATTATTTGGTGAATACAGGTTGAGAATTGTTGTATCTTCCTGGGGGAACTTTTGTATCTACTTTTTGCCCTGCAGTTCATTTTGTGTGATTTTTGGCAACCACTGTTTTGGTTGATATATATTTTTATCCTTTCACTTTTTAATTTTTCTCCATCTTTGTAAGTTTTAGGAATATTTTTTTGGAACAGCATGCAGCTGGATTTTGTTTTCTACCCAGTCTGGGTATTAATATTACTTTTTTTTTTTTTTTTTAAACAAAGGATTCTGGTTGATCTGAAAAATGAAGTTTGGTATCAAAAATGTCATGACCCTGTATGTAAAGCAGAAAACTTCAAATCTGACTGTGAGTTACTAATTTTTACATTTACCACAAAGTAAAAATTAGATAGCTATAATATGTAATAGTTTTGCTGTCTTTCTGATTCAGGTTTCCCATTGCCTGCTGAAGTATGTCTCCTGTTTCTTTTCAAAGAGGTAAGTACAGATTTTAGTCTTTCTCCTTACCAGGGAGTTATTGGTACAATAGTATACCTGAGCCATGAGTGTCCAAATAGCTTTGAACCCCATTTGGTACCTTGTTTTCACTTATGACTGTATTGTAGGAATATATTGTAGTGATTTTCCCGTTTCAGCACGTACCTAATACACACCTTGTTTTTCACTGCTGCTTGAGAAGGTGTATAATTTCATCAGTCCCAGGCATTTAAGAAGTTTCCCATATTTTGCTTTTCAAAGTAACAAAATACCCATCTTTGTGTTTCTTTGAACATTTGTATCTGTAGGATGAATTTCTAGAAGTAGAATTGTGTCAAAGGGCATATTCAGTTTTAATTTTGGCAGGTATTACCAGATTGTCAAACCAACATTTTTCTCTTAAAGATTTTTATTTACCCAAATAATTAACATGCATTGTAGAATGAAATGAAAATACATAAAATTAGGTCAGGCACGGTGGCTCAGGCCTGTAATCCCAGCACTTTAAGAGGCCGAGGCAGGCGGATCACTTGAGGTCATGAGTTTGAGACCAGCCTGGCCAACATGGAGAAACCCCATCTCTACTAAAAATACAAAAATTAGCCAGGTGTGGTGACCCATGCCTATAATCCCAGCTACTCAGGAGCCTGAAGCAGGAGAATCCCTTGAACCCGGTAGGCGGAGGTTGCAGTGAGCTGATATGCCACTACACTCCAGCCTGGCAGACAAGAGTGAGACTGCCTCAAAAAAGAAAAAAAAAAAAAAACAAAAAACCATAAAATTAGGAAATACACAAAAAGCAAAAGAGGAATCTTCCTCACTCATTTGACCAGAGATAAATGATACAAATGTTTTGGCATGTACCTTTGAGAATTTATGTGTTCATTGTGATAGCACACATACTATTTGTTTTTTTTCTACTTGAAGTATCACAAATATCTTCAGTGGCACAAATTGCTCTCCATGCAAAGTATAGGATATTAGACCTCCACAAATAATTTGAGAGCACCTATTACCTCACACTTTGCCAACAGTGCTTGTTTACCTCAAATCACTACTCATCTGGTAGGCAAAAATGCAGTACCTCAGTTTTAATTTGCATTTCTTTAATGAACTTTTTTCAGATTCACTATTAGTATTTCTGTAATGAAGTGCGTGTACCTGTCCTCTATCCATTTTTCTGTAACTTTTTTGCAATAACTTAAGTACTCTTTTTGACATATTTCTTTTACTTTTAGGTTTTAGTTTGTGTTTTTGGTTTTTTTGGTCACATCTATCAGCTTTTTCCTTTATAGTGTTATGGTTAGAATAAAGTTACCTGCTACAAGCAGAACAAGTGATTGGGTTTATAGTCTAGAAAATTCAATCTGGTATCTACTCAAGTTGTTAACACATGTCCATCGAAAAAAACTCCATCCGTTTGAAATGGTGGAAATTCCATTCTTGGTCTGCAAGAGCTGGACATAAAATAACTGATAGCCAAATTCTCTGGCAAAATGCCAGGTTAAAATGTGTGTTGAAATAAGAACAAAGTAAATTTTAAAAAATAAACTGTCTCCCAGAGGAGGAGGATTTTATCATCCTTGTTGGTCTGGATTGTGATTTAGGTATTTGTGGTTGCAGTGGATTTTTAAGCTTTTTCCGCTTATCCAGTAACGTGTCAAAAATGCCAAGTTGAAAGTACCATTGGGGTACAGTATTACTACTTGGACATAACTGTTTAAAATAATAAAAGATATATAATGAACACCCATGAACCTATCACTTGGTTTTCAGTTAACATTTTGCCTCGTGCTTCATCTGGTTTTTAAAAAAATATTTTAAACTAAATTACCAGTTGGTTTTATTTATACCTGCTTTTCTATTGCACTGATCATTTTATTTCATTGGTGACCTGATTTTAAATTTAATATAAAGGTCTGACCTACAGAAATGTACAAGAATAAGGAACTCTGCTGTCTGTCCTTCATTGAGATTTGCCATTTGTTAACATTTGGCAACATTCGTTTTCTCCTTCTACTGTATATACATATGCATTCTTATTTTTGATGACTCAAACTGCAGACATCAAAACCCTTCATCTCCTAATATTTAAGCACGTAGCTGAAGAATAAGACATTCTGTAGATTTTTTAATGAGAGGGGGGTATCATGTTGCCCGGGCTGGTCTCAAACTCCTGGCCTCAAGCAGTCGTCCTGTCTTAGCCTCCCAAGTAGTTGGGATTACAGGCACGTGCCACTACACTGAATAAGGACATTCTTTACATAAATAATTTTTTGAGAGGATCAACTAAATGTCTATACTGACGACATTCTATGGTAAAATAATTGATACAATACTATTATGTAATATACAATCCAGTCATATTTTGGCAACTGTTTTTAATCTTTTTTCAATCCATGTTTATAATTTTCTAAATACTTTAAAATTTAGAGCATGGGTAGTTAAGTCCATTGTAAAGGTAGCAAATTTATCTTGATTTGTCTTCAGCTGGACTGTCCACTTGTTAAAAAATTAAATCTACTCTTGCTCTTCCTCCATTGGGGAATATTGAAAAGTATGTCACAGCACTGCAGGTAATTTCAAATTTGGAGTTTCAAGTGTGTCTGAGCTTCGGTGCAACAATGTTTGCCTCAGTGCACTCATTCCCACGGTGAGATATCGGAGACAGCATTCCTTCAGCATATTCACTTTAGTATCTGTCACTTAATACCTTACTTCAACATAGTGTATATGGTTAAATCACATATCCTGAGTAAATATTTTCCTGTCCCACTCTCTCACCCTTCCCCACTGAAATAAAGGAAGAAGAGTTGACAACAGATGAAGCAGATGAAACTAGGAGCAATGAAACCCAGAATCCTCATAAACCATCACCTAGCAAGCTGTCAACAGGTGCATCTGCTGATGCTGTCTGGGATAATGACATTGATGATGCTTATTTTTTAGAAGCTACTGAAGATGCTGAACTAGCTGAAGCTGCAGAGAACAGTCTTCTCAGTTATAACAGTGAAGCGGATGAAATTCCTGATGAGCTAATTATAGAAGTATTACAAGAGTAGCTAATTCACTATGGACACTTTTGTCACCAGGCTATAATTTGCCTGATGTCTGTGAGATTTGATAAATATATCATTCAACCTGATAAGTTTTATCACTTTGCTTTCCAATTTTTGTTTTTTACTTCTATAAACCAATTTTATTAAAAATTACCTTTGATGTACTTAAATTCAATAGAAATCGCCTTAACCAAAATTACATTCACATCAACTTAATTTTACAGGTTTATTACAGCTCATATCTGGGGCTGATTAAGGTGTCAACATTTTTAAATTACTCAAGATATTAACCAGAAAAGATGATTATGGCCTCTAAAACTATTGGACAAACTGATGCTATTTAACATTGTTCACAGCCATTTAATTTGAATAACAAATTTTAGATTCTGGCAAGTAGGCCATAACTTCTTTGCAAAACAATTTATTTATAAAAGTACAGTTTCAGACAGTAACAGCATGAGACTAGTCTTCCTATGGGCACATTTTAGTAGATTGCTCTTCTCATTCCTGGTCAAGGAGCTTCTCTAACTGATGGTTGATATTTCGCAGATGGCTTTCGGCTCCCAAAAGTGTTCTTGCTTTAAATAACAGGGCTGGAAGGCTGGATGAATCATACTGTTGAAAGAAAAAAACTTATATAATTAGCAATATCAAAAACTTACAACCTTGTCGTCACGTAGCCCAGTCTTATGACCAATGCAAATTTTGATTGAGCTTTCCATTAACTACTCCTCCTCTCATTTTTAACTAGGACCATTAAGACAACTGGTTTTAATCCATTTCCTTAAAACATAATTGATCACGAAGTTGCTAGGGAGCTGCTCTGCAAAGCTTGAACTGATCTTCTTATCCCAGAAGACCAGCTGATTCAAAGAACTGTATCATTTCTATTACTGAAGACAGGAAATCATGCCTGGGACACGTCAAGGCTTGGTTTTGGCAAGTCTGCTCGTGCTGTGTAGGGTCTGCTTGATATCATGTCTATTTTAAAACACTGAAAACTGTAAGATAGGTTTTACTTTAACTAAAGAACTAATGGAATGAGGACACCAGATCCATAAAAGTTCCTAAGAAAAAAAAAAACCCCAAATCTATCATCTCAAGAAATTATTGGGAGAATCAATTAAATGTCTCAAAGGTTACCAATCCAAATGTTCTTAATGATTAAAGTTAAAATTAGAACACAAACCCAACATAAAATAAAACACAACATCCAACTCATGATTTTGAAATAATTAACATTTTGAGACGGAGTCTCACTCTGTCAGCAGGCTAGAGTATACAGTGGCGTGATCTTGGCTTACTGCAATCTCCGCCTCCTGGGTTCAAGCAATTCTCTGCCTCAGCCTCCCGGGTAGCTGGGATTACAGGCGCCCGCCACCAGGCCCGGCTTTTTTTTTTTTTTTTAAATTTTTTAGTAGAGACGAGGTTTCACCATGTTGGCCAGGCTGGTCCTGAACTCCTGACCTTGTGATCCACCCGCCTCAGCCTCCCAAAGTGCTGGGATTACAGGCGTGAGCCACCATGCCCAGCCCCGATTTTGAAATAATTAACAAAGTCAAAATTCCAGTTGCAAATTGTATCTAAGGGTGCATGATTAAATTCCCCTTACAGAATTGTATCATACTTTGATAGTTTGCTGTTTAATATCATGTTTTCAAGATGACAGCAGAAAAGCTGTCATGCTGTGACTACCACACATGATAATGAAATTTTATACAAATATCTGACAAACTAATGTGTTCAAGCTCCCATGGGCACCTGCTCTAGGGAGGGATAAAGGGGAAGAAGTCACATTTGTCACTAAATGTTTAGAGTAAGACATATGCCCAAATATCTACACTCAATAAGGCAAAAGTGAGAGTTACTACAAGAGGAGTGCAAGAAGGCACTGAGGTCATGCCAAGAACAGGATGCTCATCCAGTGGTGTTTTCCAGACAAGGCAGAGACACTAAACCTCGCTTTTAACTAAAGTATTATGTTCAAGCTGAATCAAAGCTACAGGTAACTTCCCCAAATTTAGTAACCAAACTCCACATCATAAGCTTTGGACTAGTGAGGTAATTCTAAAAAATACCTTTAAAAGCATTCTATTTCCAGATCTCTAATATATAAACAAATCTTAGGCTCAGGAAAATTAACTTAGATCAGTGTCAAAACCTTAACATTGAATTTAGAAGTGAAGAATACAAATCTGATCATAAAATATGTATATATTACATATAATTATACATATTTTATATAAAATTATATTAGGGTATACAAATTTTTTCCCTAGAACTTAAACATTTCTATTAATCTGAGGCAGATGGCCTAACAGTAGCAAAGTCTGCAGTAAAAATCCAGAAGCAGCTACAAAACGTATTAAAACAATAAATATGTTTTCCCATTATATTCCCTTTTAATGTTTCTTAACTATTTTTTTTTTTTTTTTTGAGACAAGGTCTTGCTCTGTCACCCAGGCTGGAGTGCAGTGGTGCGATCACAGCTCAGTGCAGCCTGGACCTCCAGGGCTCAAGTGATCTTCCCACCTCGGCCTCCTGAGTAGCTGGGACTACAAGCACGCACCACCACACCTGGCTAGTTTTTGTATTTTAGTAGAGAGAGGGTTTCACCATATCGCCCAAGGCTGGTCTTGAACTCCTGGGCTCAAGGGATCTACCTGCCTCAGCCTCCCAAAGTGCTGTGATTATAAGTGAGAGCCATCACACCCGGCCTGTTTCTTAGCTTCTAAAATCATACCTACCACTTATATGGAAAAATAGCTTGTTTTTCATATGTAAAAGACGCTGTGAACATGGGCTAGACAAAACAGAAAAGGTTGGTCTTTCAAACATGGCTGAGTGGTCTTATATGAATGAAAATTATAATACAGCAGAGTGTGATTTTTCAGTTGAGATTTATACACAGAATATAAACTTCCCTTGATGAAATTCAGCTGTCCGAGTGAAAATATCTTACACGAATCAGCAATTCTGGACATTACTCCTCCAGCCTTCATTAAGTAGCTCAGAAAAGTGCTGATATAATGAAGTTTCACTGGCTTACAGCGGTACTATTTTAGGTGGACTCTGTAATTCTGTCTCTGCACTTGTCTTTCCCCAAAGCTTCTGATACTCTAGCATGAAAATGCCCTCCCGCAATCATCTTCTGAAGCATGGTAAAAAGTAAAATTGGAATTACCGTTTCCTTTATGTTTGGTTCTTTTGCTTGAACATCCGAATAATCTTGATAAAGCTGTTTTAAATTAGATAAGAAATATGCTGCATTCCTAAGGGAAGACTTTCTCTCTCTAAGTTCATCATATTTTGTTTGTAGTTGTTTCAGCTGTGGCTCTAACCTAAAACAAAAATAAGTGACATATAATAAAATGTACCAATCTATCGTGTGTGCAACTGAGGTTGTAAGTACACTGAGCGAGTGTGAAGAACCGGGGTTGGCCAACTAGATGATTTGCTTTGGCTCTGAAACTATGAATGTGTAAAAGATTCTGGGTTTCAGTTTAAAATGTAGGAAAAAAAAAAATCTCTGAAATACAATGCACAATGAATAATTAGCAGTGACATTCACAGAAGAATATTCCTTATAAATGTTGAAATTCATCAAGCCATTCAAGTCTTCGGAACTACTGGATCAAATGTATGTTTGGCTAACATTCAGAGGCTCGTGCCGGAGGAGCCAGGCACTACAGTCTAACGCAGAAACCACAGACAAAAAGCTTTCCCAGTGCTCCTTCCTCTTATCAAATCTTGTCCACTCTCCAAAGTCTAATAAAACCAGTGGAAGACGTTCAGTGCCTGGATGAAAACATGTGACCTTGGGCAAACTGTTTCATCTCAATGGCTGAGTTTCTTCACCTATAAAATAAAAAGGTATAACTTGGGTTTTATGGACCAACAAAAAAAATGAGGGGCAAAGGCGGCAAATTTTGTATTTTGCCAAATAAAGATTTAAAACACAACTATTCTCTAATATAATTTCATAAAAACGTCTTTTTTTTTTTTTTTTTTTTTTGAGACGGAGTCTTGTTCTGTCACCCAGGCTGGAGTGCAGGGGCATGATCTCAGCTCACTGCAACCTCCGCCTCCTGGGTTCAAGCGATTCCCCTGCCTCAGCCTCCCAAATAGCTGGGATTACAGGCGCCCACTACCACGCCCGGCTAATTTTTGTATTTTTAGTAGAGATGAGGTTTCAACATGTTGGCCAGGCTGGTCTCAAAACTCCTGACCTCACTGATCCACCCGCCTCAGCCTCCCAAAGTGCTGGGATTACCGGCATGAGTCACGAAAAGTCTTCCTTAACAATTCTTTACATTGAACAAATGCAGCGCTGGGGAAAACTCACTACTGAGCTGGCAGTCGTGGTCAGGAGTGCTGAATTTGGAGTCAGTCAGCTGACAGTGAATCCTAGCTCCCCCACTACCTAGAGCTGCGCCTCTGGGCAAGTTACCTCCCTGTGCCTTAAGTTTTCATATGGCAAGTTAAAATAATGATATACCATAGTTTTTTTTATTACACCTTTTCAAAATACACTTCTCAACTTCTAAATTTATATCTAGAAAAGAAACAAAAGCCTGTGCTTTAGGTTTTCATATAGCAAGTTAAAATAATGATATACCATAGTTTTTATTATGCCTTTTCAAAATATACTTCTCAACTTCTAAATTTATATCTGGAAAAGAAACAAAAGTCAGTCTTTAAAACATGTCTCGGCCGGGTGCGGTGGCTCACATCTGTAATCCCAGCACTTTAGGAGGCCGAGGCGGGCGGATCACGAGGTCAGGAGATCCAGACCATCCTGGCTAACACCGTGAAACCCCGTCTCTATTAAAAATACAAAAAAAAATTAGCCGGGTGTGGTGGCGGGCGCCTGTAGTCCCAGCTACTTGAGAGGCTGAAGCAGGAGAATGGTATGAACCTGGGAGGCGGAGCTCGCGGCGAGCCCGAGATAGCGCCACTGAACTCCAGCCTGGGCGAGAGTGAGACTCTGGATCAAAAAAAAAAAAAAAAAAAAAACACAAAAAAACAAACTCATCTCAGTAGTCTCACACTGAAGACAAGTGTAACCAGGCACGGCCTGACTATAGCTATAACCACTTGTCTCATAGGACTGTGATGATGAGTTAGCATAGAAAGCGTTTAGGAAAGTGCCCTGCCACAGAGGAAGCTTGTAAATGTCAGCTTTCCTTGTTATATTTGCCTTTAGTTTTCTTATTTTGGCCTGGGTCAATGAAAACCTTACCATAGGCCAGCACCTGTCCAGAGACTCGATTTAGAAACCAACAGATTAGACAACTGCTTTCTCCCCCTTAAACTCCTGTGGCAGTCTCTCTTTTCTTTTTTTTTTGAGACACAGTTTCACTCTGTCACCCAGGCTGGGGTGCACGGGCACGATCTTGGTTCCCTGTAACTTCTGCCTCCCAGGTTCAAGTGATTCTTGTGCTTCAACCTCCCCAGTAGCTCAGATTACAGGCGTGCGCCACCACACCCCGTTAATTTTTGTATTTTTGAGATGGGGTTTCACTATGTTGGCCAAGCTGGTCTTGAACTCCTGACCTCAAGTGATCCGCCCACCTTGACCTCCCAAAGTGCTGGGATTACAGGTGTGAGCCACTGTGCCTGACCTAGCAGGCTCTTTTTAAAAACTTAGTTTTGAATGAGTTTTTAAAAGTTTCAACTTTTAATTATACACATTATTTTCTGACAATATCACTTTCTTTCTCAAGCTATTTTTAAGCCCAGGAACAGACAGCACATCCAGCACTGTTTTATTACCAAGACTCTAACTCTCATGACAGCCATGGCCTCAAAACATACTTGTGGGCTGCCACCTGATGTGCGCTCCAGTCTTCCTAACCAGAAATTGGGGGCAGCCCTGGCCTGCAGGGCCTGGTAATTTCACCTGGCCCACACTTGGGAGTGGATTCACATGCATGCCACTCCAAGGCATACCCTTCCACCGTAACAACATAAACAACAACTGTCAACACTTACACAGCACTTACTGCGTGCGCCTGTCCCTGTGGCGCACTTTCTATATATGTGCTCATCTAATTTCCACAGCACTTGCTATATATGTACTCATCTAATTTCCACAGCACTCTATGTTTTTCACATGTGAGCAAAAGTAACCAAAGACAGAGGCAGAATTTGAGAATACCGAAGTCTAGGTATGATGATGATGACGCCTATATACAAAAGAGGCAACTGAGACACTGGGACACCAAATAACTTGGTCAAGGTTGCGCAGCCAGTAAGTGGCAGAGCTTGGGTTCAACCCAAGCAGTTCAAGCAGTTTAATGCGTAGATTCTAGAATTCAACCCAGGCAGCTGAATTCTGGAATCTAGGCATTATATCTCTTAAGGCCAGAGCTGAGAAATCTGTGGAGATAGATCAGTGTGGAATTCTCCTTTGCCAAAAGGTGGGGCAACTAGGCAACATACCCTGCCTTCACTGAGTATCGGAGCTTGAAGATAACCTGGGCTTTAATACAACACAGCAGCAAGTGTCACTCCCCTAAATGACACACCATAATTACATCCTTTTAGGTAAGTGCTCAAACAGGATTTGATAGTATCTTACCGAAGCAGTTCATCCTGGACTTCAATCATACGCTGCCTTTTCTTTTCGATATCTGAAATCATCTAAGTAACACAATCATTTGTGTTAAAATTAATTTGTAACTGTTTGAGCACTGCCACATACGCTGCCAGGTAATGAAGTGCAGTGGAAAACAAGACAGACCCAATTCTTAACATCACAGACTTTGGTCTAATGGGGAAGACAGACATTACACAGAAACAATATGTATTTACAACCTGTGATATGTGCTATAAAGGAAAAGAAGAGAGAACTCTGGAAAAGAAAAACAGGGGCCAGGTCTTTACTGGACCCTGTGACCTGTAAAGTGAGGAGATTTTATCTAGGTGCACTAGGAAACTATCAAAGCAGGGGAGTGTTGTGATCCACTCTGTATTTTAAAAGGAACATTTCAATGTATTTTATTATCTCAGTCATCGAGTCACTTTTAGTGACTACGTAATACTCCACTGTTAGACATTCATAATGTTCCCATTCGGTAATAAGTAATGCAGAAATGACCAATAAAAGATTAAAACTGAAAGAAAAACAAAAACATCCCAGAGCTTGCAATCACTGGAAGGAAAATGTATGTATTTCAAGTCTAGTTCTATTTTAAATGCAGAGGTGGTCTTCCACTCCTGGATTCACCTCTGACGCTCAGAGGCCATTTGGTCCAGCCGTTTCCAGGTAAGCAAAGGAGACTCTCGTGTTGGCTGGCTTGTCGCCCACTGCAGACCCAGTGGTGTATAGTTTATAGGTGGTATAGCAATGAAGCAGCAGAGCCAGGACTAGACATGAGGTCTCCTGACCCTTAACCCAGTATTCTTCCCAGGCTGTCCTACCTGGGACAGTTCTTTATTCTAAAAGGTTGTGCTTTTCGACGTCCGCAAAAGCAATAAATATATATTAATATTTATCCATATAAGTGGTCATCTTGGACTTGGTAGTCTTTTAAAAGCTAACTTTGTGACATTAATAAAAGGCTTAAATTTCTGTCTTTAATTATAAAAACAATTATTTTGACACTTGTGCAGCCTTAGGAAACAAAAGTGACTAGTATCCCCATTCCTTACCTTGCATTAATAATACCAACCATATCAACCATGAGATCAACCAAATAAAAGCCTGACAAGATTATGAAATCTACTCACACTCTAAAGGCTGTAAACCCAGAGTCAAGTCTTTACATAACTCTACATGTTAGTATTGACTCTATGACTCTAATCACATACATCATTTACCTTAGCATTCTTCCTTTTCAGATTTTTCAACATCTGGCTTTCTTTAAGCTACACAAAACAAAAAATACATATGTACATTATTTTCCAAAAGTAAATGTTAGTTTCACATGTATCACATTCAGTTAAAAACAGTTATGTTTTTATGAATAGTTATGAATAGTTCTAATGAGTTTATTACCATACTGCCAACAAATGCAAGCTTTTCTAAGACAACAATATGCTGCTTCAGGATTAGTGAAAAAAACCTTAGACCAACAAATTCATGTCAGTGAGCTTACCAATTTGATGACTTGTTCTTTAACATTAACGTAAAATGTGTCGATGGCTGCCCTACAAACTTTAGATTCTGTTCTTTCTCTGTAGAGGAATTAAAAAAAAAAGTCTAAGTACCATGATGGATTTTGAAAGGTGTTTCATTTGCTTAGCATATAAACAAACATGTACATACAATTTGGCATATACCTTTTTTATTTTAAAAATATCTTTAATCTTTTTTTATAATTTCAATTTTTTAGATTAAGGGATTTGTTATATGGGCATACTGCATGACACTGAAGTCTGGGGTACAACTGACCCCATCACTCAGGTAGCGAGCATGATACCCAACAGGTTGTTTTTCAGTCCTTGAATCCCTATTCCCTCTAGGAATCTCCAGGATCTACTGTTGCCATCTTTATGTCCATGTGTACCCAATGTTTAGCTCCCACTTATAAGCGAAAACACGCAGTATTTGGTTTTCCGTTCCTACAATAATTCACTTGGGATAATGACTTCCAGCTGCATCCATATTGCTACAAAGGACATGATTTTGTTCTTTTTTATAGCTGTGCAGTATTCCATGGTCTACATGTACCATATTTTCTTTATCCAACCCACAGTTGATGGGCACCTAGGTTGATTCTGTCTTTGCTATCATGGATAGTGCTGTGATGAACATATGAGAACACCATTTTAACTAACTAAGATGGCAATGTTCAGCCTGAAAAAAATACTGGAAACACGTATCAGCAAAAGAAAAAGAACAAATACATTTTTCTGTAAGCCCTCCGGTACGGGGTCATCTTAATTCCCTGATACTAAACAACCTCACAGGTGATACCAAGTAAGGTAGAAATGCTTATGGCTAATCCCAGTCTTTTCCTACTACCTGAAAGACCCAGCAGACTTTATTCCTTCCCTCTCTGCCTGTTAGCAAAAGGAGGAGCAACTGTGTAACACATTTGGACTAGCCAAAAAGTAGCCATAAATCAGGTGATAGTTCTTCAGAAACTATAAAACTGACTAAAAGAAACTGCCTCAGGTCTCTGTCGCTGGGGAGAAGAGATCTGGTGGCCAGTCTCTGATTCTTCTGGCTTGGCTCACTCACCCATTAAGATGGCTATTATTTTAAAAAACAGAAAACAACAAGTGTTGGTGAGAAAGTACAGAAATAGGAACCCGTGTGTTGCTGGTGGAAATGTAAAACGATATAGTCACTGTGGAAAACAGTATTGGCAGTTCCAAAAAAAACAAAAAATAAAATAATTAAACATAGAACTACCACATGATCCAGCAATTCCTCTTCTAGGCATATACACAAAAGAATTGAAAGCATGGACTTGAATATCAATTGTACATCAATGTGTGTAGCAGCATTATTCACAATAGCCAAAAGGTGGGAACAACTCAAGTGTCCACTGATAGATAAGTGGATAAAGAAAATGTGTTAAAATCATGACCATATAACAATGTCTCAGTCAACAATGGATGGCACATACAATGGTAGACCCATAAAACAATGGAGCTAAAAATATCTTATCACCTAGTGACACTGTTGCCATCAAAATGTCATAGCACAATGCATTATTCACATACTTGCCGCGATGCTGGTGTAAACAAACCTATAGTGTTGCCTAGTTGTGTATATAGTTAGGTATACTGCATAAAACTTGATAATAAATTACCAAGTGCCCCAAACAGGTATAACATTTTTTATCTTTTATTTATTTATTTATTTTTGAGATAAGGTCTTACTCTGTCACCCAAGTTGGACTGAGTAGTGCGATCATGGAGCACTGCAGCCTCAAACTCCTCGACTCCAGTGATCCTCCTGCCTCAGCCTCCCGTGTAGCTGGAATTACAGGCATATGCCACCATGCCTGCCTAATTTTTAACTTTTTTGTAGAAAATGGGTCTCATTATGTTGCCCAGGCTCATTTTTTATCTTTTATACCATATTTTTACTGTATCTTTTCTATGTTTAGATACACAATTTACCATCATGATACAATTACCTACAGTATTCAATACAGTGACATAGTATTGAATGAACTTGCTGTCCAAGTGTGTATCCTGGGAGGAACAGGCAACACATCATATAGCCATGGCATGTACTAGGCTACACCATCTAAGTTGGTGTAAGTACACTCTACATTAACACAATGACAAAACTGCCTAAGGATGCAGTTCTCAGAACACATCCCTGTTGTTAAGAGACATGAATGGGTATTCATATGACTGAATATGATTCCACCTTAAAAAGTAAATTCTGACACATGCTATGACATGGGTGAGCCTTGAGGACATCATGCTGAGTGAAATAAGACAGTCACAAAAGGACAAATATTGTATGATTCCACTCATATGAGGTACCCAGAGCAGTTAGATTTACAGAGACAAAGTAGAATAGTGATTGCTAGGGGAGGGAGAAATGAGGAGTCATTGCTCAAACGGGTACAAAGCTACCGTTTCATAAGGCTTTAGTTCCAGAGATGGGTTGCTTAACAAAGTGCACACAGTTAACACACAATAAAGAGAAAATATTTCTACACTTCACACCTATCACAATGGCTAAAATAAAAATTAGTGAGAACACCAAATGCTGGCAAGGATGCAGAGAATCTGGATCATACACTGTGGAAAACAGTCTGTCCCTTACAAAACTGAACATGCAATTACCATATAACCCAACAACTGCACTCTTGGGCATTTATCCCAGAGAAATGGAAGCTCAGGTTCAAACAAAAAAATGTATACAAATGTTCACAGCACTGTGTGTGTAACAGCCCAAAACTAGAAACAACCCAAATTCCTTCAATGGGTGAATGTCAAACCATGGTATATCCATACCATGGAATGCTACCTAGCAATGTAGTGGAATGGAATCATACAACAGCTTGGATGAATCTCCAAGGCATTATGCTGAGTGGAAAAAAGCCAATCCCAAAAGGTTGCACACTATAGAGTTTCATTTATATAACATTCTTGAAATGATGAAATGACAGAAATGGACAACAGGTTAGTGGTTTCCAGGGCTTGGGGCTGTGGGTGTAGCTATAAAAGGGCAACATGAGGACAGACGGGGCATGAGGACACAAGAATTCTGGCAGTGATGCAATATACAAACCTATACATATGATAAAATCCCTATATTATTCCTCACAACTGCATGTGATTCTACAATTATCTCAAAAGACATTTAATTAAAAAAAAATAAAGTTGTAACTTGTTATTACACATTGAACTAAACAAAAAATTCATGAATAATGAGGTATTTCTAAAGATGCATGTTCATAGCAACATTATTCACAACAGCCAACAGGTGGAAGCAACCCAAGTGTCCGCTGATGAATGAATGGGTAAACAGTGAATGGAGGAATGGTCATCTGTGTACACACAAACACAGCCTTAACAAAGAAGGAAATTCTGATGCATGCTATCACACAGATGAGCCTTGAGGACATGCTAAGTGAAATAAGTCAGTCACAAAAAGACAAATACTGGATGGTTCCATTTATGTGAAGTATTCGAAGTAGTCAAATTCATAGAAACAGAAAGTAGAAGGGTGGTTGCCAAGCACTAGAGATGGGGTGAAGAATAGAACATTGTGATTTAATGGGTACAGAATGTCAGTTGTGCAAGATAAAGAAGTTCTGGAGACTGGTAGCACAACAACATGAATATACTTAACACTGCTGACCTGTGCACTTAAAAACACTTAATGGCAAATTTTATGTTATGTGTGTATTTTAGCACAATTAAAAATTTACATAAGTCCCACTTAAAAAAAAAAAAAGAATTTCTAATGCAATATAAATATCAAATCATTATTTTCAGATGTTAGAATATTTTTTAAATATAGCCAGTCATCATGGCACATGCTTGTAATCTCAACTACTCTGAAGGCTGAGGTGGGAGGATCCCCTAAACCCAGGAGTTGGAGACCAGCCTGGGCAACACAGTGAGACCCCATCTAAAGAAATTTTTTTTTTTTAAATAAGAAAAGCTGGTCAGGCCTCTCCGCATATGGCTTGTAATGATAAATCGATAGATTCTTTCAACCACAAAGGTGATGGTCTACACAAGACAGCTCTTCCAAATTCTAGCAACTTAAACATCTGGCAAAATTCAATTAATTGAATCAGCTATAGACTATTCTAAGTGTTTGTAATGTTGCATTTCATGGCATACTTCCCTACTTATACATAAACTGCTTATCGTCAGTTTATACTGATATAACAGTGAAGCTATTCAGGTCTGAGTGCTAGGTACAGGATATTAAAAACAGATCCTTAAATAGTTGTTGACTTAATTTTGAAAAAGTGTTTCACGTGGCTGAGAACACCACATTGTCAAGGAAACAAAATGAGATCAGTGATTCACCAGAATTCTTATTTGGTATGACAAAAATACAAAGTTGTACTGCAATGTTATATAAGTCTAAGAAAAATACTATGCCTCTTCTAAATCATTTCTTATCAAGAACTTACTACCCACTGCAGCAACTCAGACCTGTCCCTGTGTCCTTACTACCCACTGGGTAGTAAGTTCTTGACGTAAGAAATGATTTAGAAGGGGACAATGCCATTTTCCCTAAAACATCAGAAATCTATAATAAGCTTCCTATAAGAGATTTGTGAATAGGAAAAGGATAACACAAGCAAGATGGTCTTGGGTGTGTTAACTGTGCTAGTTTTAACAGGAAACTGGCTCTGGAATATACAGAAGAGTAAAACAGGTACTTCCCACAATGATGATGATGAATTGGCATGACAGGCTGGCTCCTTTCCCCAAGCTCACCCAGAACTACAGAGGGAATACCACAGAGAAAATGGAGAAAGCTGTGAAAACCCTGAGGGTGAGGTCATGTAGAGAGGATGACTGCTGTGAGGAGTGGCGCTGTGGCCAGGGCAGGAATAGACAGCTGTGGGAAACTGACTCCTGCCTCTTCCCATCACCGATCTCATCAACAGTGTGCCTGCTCCACCCCCGCTCCCCTGCCCCCTGCAGCAACTTAGACCTCGGTCCCTGTGTCCTCATCAAGACTGAAACTGGGGTTGGACTTGGGCCTAGAGAAAAACATGGGAGGCTGACTGACTTTGGGCAGCTGTTTCCTCACCCTTCCCCGGTCAAACCCCCATGCTGGAGAATGATGACCCACAGAGTCCATCTTTTCTTCCTGCTGCTCCTCTCTGGAGGGTGAGGAGTGAAGTACTGACCTGACAGGCTGTTTTGTGAGATGAGTAGCTGAGGCTGCCCACCCTAGGGCTTACCCCACCCCCTGCACTCACAGGCACTAACAGAGACTGGAGTTTGGCCTTCTTCTGTACATACTGTCTGACAGAAAGGGACAGGCCCAGGGGAAAATAAACTCAGAGACTGGAATAACAAGATGCTGGAGGAACCCAACCATTTCAAAAGGAAAACACATATTATATCCGAAACCTTACCAGAGCAGGTATTTTAGAATAGCTGATCCAATAATTTGAAATTAGCTCAACAGATATTCTAAGGAAGATATTAGCAGCATAAAACACAAATACAAGACACAAAAAAAGCAGCAGAAATAGCTGGACATGATGGCTCACACCTGTAATCCCAGCACTTTGGGAGGCAACAGTGGGTGGATCACTTGAGGTCAGGAGTTAGAGACCAGACTGGCCAACATGGTGAAACCCCGTCTCTACTAAAAATACAAAAAATTAGCTGGGTGTGGTGGTGGGTGCCTGTAATCCCAGCTACTAGGGAGGCTGAGGCAGGTGAACTGCTTGAACCCGGGAGGTAGAGGTTGCAGGGACTGAGATTGCGCCACAGCACTCTAGCCTGGGTGACAGAGACTCCATCTCAAAAAAAAAAAAAAAAAAACAGAAAACAAAAAACAAATATAATAGAGAACTCAACAGATGGGACAAACGGCAGACTGGATATTTCTAAGAATAAATTAGAAAATCTAATTTCTTAGATTGAGGAAATCTCCCAGTGAATGAAGCAAAGGATAATAAGATAACAAAAAAGAAAATTAGGATAAAAATATTTTAAATTCTTAGAATTAAAAAAAGTAATTTGTTCAGCAGCAATAGATTAAAAAAAAATTTTTTTTAAACCTTGGAATGAAAAGGTCAGGCTCAATATAGTGAAATTTAAGAATATCAAAGAAACAAAGTAACAGTTGAGAGAGCTAAACAACAGATCACATTCAAAGAAATAAGAATTAGATAGACATCAAATTTTCCAAAAGCAACACTCGATGTAAAAGAATATAAAGTTTCCAAAGTATTTAAGAAAATAATTTAGAACATAAAATATTATATCCAGCTAAGCTGTCATTCAAATTCAAGGGTATAATAAAAATAATCAGAAGGTTTAGAAGTTTTGCAACATAAAGAGCCACACTGTGGTGTTGGATGAAATATTTAAATAAGAGAAAATACTTATCTACAGGATATTGCAAGAAAATATCTGAGATAAAAGTGATCAAATACCTAAGTAAATTTTGTTATTGTTAAAAACAGAGACAAACACACACAACAGAAGGGGAAATTCTATCTACCTTAATTTAGAATTAAAGGTGGTGAGTTATAAATACAATTTTTTTAAGTTAAAAAAAATTCAGAACATCAAAAAGTAGAATAAAAAAGTTAAAGAAGTAACAATATATTAACATATTGTTCAAGATATATCAATAATTACAATAAATGCTAATGGACTAAACTCGAGTTGAAATTCAAAGACTGATACACTGGATTTAAAAAGACGAATAAAGAAATTAAAATTTAAGGTAGCAAAAAGGTTGGAAGTAAAAGAAATTAAAAAGAATGTAAAATCTGGCCAGGCGCAGTGGCTCACGTCTATAATCCCAGCACTTTGGAAGGCCAAGGTGGGCAGATCACGAAGTCAGGAGATCGAGACCATCCTAGCCAACATGGTGAAACCCTGTCTCTACTAAAAATGCAAAAATTAGCTGGGCATGTTGGCACACACCTGTAGTCCCAACTACTTAGGAGGCTGAGGCAGGAGAATTGCTTGAACCTGGGAGGTGGAGGTTGCAGTGAGCCGAGATCTCACCACTGTACTCCAGCCTGAGGACAGATCGAGACTCCATCTCAAAAAAAAAAAAAAAAAAAAAAAAAATCTGGCAAATGCTAGCAAAAGAAAACTATGATGCATATTAGTATCAGGTAAAATAAATTTTAAGACAAAGTATGTTTAGGAATAGAGTGCGTGACCAACTAAAATGTTCAGTCTGCAAGACAGAGCAATTTTACACACGATTTTCCTAATAGTCTCTAAACATATACAGCACAAATGAATAGAAGTACCAAGAAATACTGAACACAGATCCAATAATTAGAGTCTATCTAGATCCAATGATTAGAAATTGCAAACAGATCATGTACCAGGTCAAAAAGAAAGCCTCAAAATTTAAAAAAAAAAAAAAAAAAAATTATCACCAGACCATGATCTTTGACCACAACATATTTAAGATAGAAGGTTAATACACAAATATAAATTTAAAAGTCTACATATTTGGAACATTTAAAAACATATGAATTCTTCAAAGAATTAAACAATTATAATAAACGTAAAAATATCTAAAACAATGACAATGAAAATAGTACATAACAAAAACTGTATGATGAGCAAAAACAGTGCTTCAAGGGAAATTCATCAGGTAAATATACCACATCATCAAAAGACTTACTTATGCTCTAGGTGGGTTTTCTCAAATTCAGGCAAAACAATATTCAACTCTTTGATGTCATTGGTTTTCATTCCTTCTAGACACCAAATGTCCACAGTGTCAGAAGTATCTAGAATATTAAGATAAGTTAACATGCTGGTTATTCATATTTTGGCTGTAGGTCCAGGGTTCTGAAAGCCTGCCACAAAAATAGTCTCACCAAATTGTAAAAGACAGCTACAGCTGAACAATCAGACAGGAGGCGCCGTACTCACTTCTTACCCCTGTGCAGTCTTGCAAACCCCTACATATACTTTCACTTTAACTGCTATCTTGCTGGTTCTCCTACTTTTGCTAAAGCAACCAAAAGCATTGCTGCCTTTTAATCACCTTACTGTATCTTTATTTAGTAGTGTGCTGTTATTTAACATCACTGGGGATAAGCTCTTCATTGTTAGCTGTATTTTCTGAATTTTAATCTATCTGATAGGCCTTTAATAATCTTGTAGGATACAGCAAGATTATTCAGTGTATTAATTTAAATAATTGTAATATACAGTACTATCCCACACAGGGATCTGAAGACAGATCTTGGTTCTAGTTTGAGCTTCTTTCTTACTAGTCATAAGATCTCAGGCAAGTCAGTTAACCTTCCAGAGGCCATTTCCTCAATGATAAATGGAATAAAAGAATGCTCTCCTTTTTATTATGAGACTCAAGCAAGAAAATATCTGTGAATGCATTTATAAAAACTATAAAATACTATACATCTGTAAGGTGTTATTATCAATTTCCAAAACATACCTCAATTTTTTTTTCTTTAAAAAAAATTTTTTTGAGACAGGGTCTCACTCTGTTGTCCAAGCTGCAGTGCAGTAGCATGCTCAGCACTCATTACAGCCTCGAAGTCCTAGGTTCAAGTGATCCTCCCACCTCAGCCTCCCAAACAGCTGAGACTACAAGTGTATGCCACTATGCCTGGCTAGTTCTGAAAATTTTTTGTAAAGGTGGGGTCCCACTATGTTGCCCAGGCTGGTCTTGAACTCCTGGGCTCAAGCAGTCCTCTCACCTCAGCCTCCCAAAGTGCTGGGATTACAGGTGCACCCATCATTCTCAGCCCCCAGTTTTCTGTATGTTAACAGAAGCCATTGGCAGGGAAGTCTACTCTTCTTCCATAATTCTTTGTTTAATACTACAAAACTGACAAACATACTGAGAGTTTGTCTCCAGATTCACAATGACCTGAGTGTAACTCTTGGCTCTGGTGGATTAGTAACAGCCACCAATTCTTTCCCACTCTTCCCTACTTCCATTCCCTTGAATCTGGGATAGCCCCCTATAACCGGCTTGATCAACAGAGCATGAAGGAGTGAAAGGCCAGGTCTCAGGGTATCTGCAGCTTCTGCTTTACACCTCCTGCAATGCTCCCTCTTGGACATCAACTGTCACATGAAATTCTGACTACTGAACAACAGGCAAGCCCAAGCTAGCCACTTAAAAAGAGGCCACATGCAGGAGGAACAAGGCACCAGATAGATGAAAACAGTCATCTTAGACCTTCCACCCTAGCTCAGCCATTAAACGAACAGAACTGCCCAAAGCAAAACTGTAAGCAAATAAAACGATGGCCATTGTCAATCAGGGGCTGGCAAACTTCAGTGAAGTGCCAGAAGGTAACTACTGTTGGCTTCATGGGCCAACTGTTCAACTCTGCCATTGTAGTGTGAAGGCAGCCACAAACAATCCACAGAAGAGTGAATCTGGCTGTGATCCAATAAAAGTTCATTTTCAAAAACAGGCAATGGACTAAATCTGAATTGTAGATATAGATTTTTTTTTTTTTTTTTTAGACAGAGTTTTGCTTTTGTTGCCCAGGCTGAACTCTCCTTCCCAGGTTCAAGTGATTCGCTTATCTCGCCCTCCCGAGTAGCTGGGATTTACGGGCATGTGCCACCATGCCTGGCTAATTTTCATATTTTCAGTAGAGACGGGGTTTCACCATGTTGGTCAAGCTGGTCTCGAACTCCTTACCTCAAGTGATCCACCCGCCTTGGCCTCCCAAAGTGCTGGGATTACAGGTGTGAGCCACCGTGCCCGGCCTACACATAGTTTTTAGATTAGTAAGTTTTAAGGTAGTTTGTTAGGCATTAATACACCCAAAACACTGGCTGAACCCACTTATGGCTGTGTAAGCTCAGACAAGTTTTTTAACCTAAGACCTCAATTTTCTCACCTGTAAAAATGGGGGAAATAATATCTATACTTCATAGGTTTATTATAAGAATGAGAGAGAAGATAACATTAAACACTCAGTATAATGACTGGCACATAGTAAATACTTTGCTGTCTTTGTTGCTACTAATTTATAAAATAGAAACAGTAGGAACAGAAGTTAGTAAAAAGTATTCCAATAATACTTCCAGGCCAGACCCATAACACTGTTACCCACAATTCTGCCACCACCCCAATATACATAAATCCTTACTCACCTAAACTCAGCTCACCATGATTTTTAGAAAAACCAGTAATCTGCAAAAAGTAGTTCTGCATTTATTTATTTATTTATTTATTTATTTATTTATTTATTGAGACAGAGTCTCGCTTTGCCGCCCAGGCTGGAGTGCAGTGGCACGATCTCAGCTCACTGCAAGCTCTGCCTCCTGGGTTCACGCCATTCTCCTGCCTCAGCCTCCCGAGTAGCTGGGACTACAGGCTCCTGCCACCACGCCCGGCTATTTTTGTATTTTTGGTAGAAACAGGGTTTCACAGTGTTAGCTAGGATGGTCTGGATCTCCTGACCTCGTGATCCGCCCGCCTCGGCCTCCCAAAGTGCTGTGATTACAGGCGTGAGCCACTGCACCTGGCCTAGTTCTGCTTTTATAAAATACACAGTATCTAAAGGTCTTATTAGTTTAAATAAAATCTTCCTTAAGCTCTCAGGACCAACAGATTTTTTTTTTAAGTTTAATTAAGAACCGTATATCCAAGCTATCTACTCTTACTGAACATAACATTTATTTTGGCATCAGAATTGATCTATGATGAGTTATTTTATACACGACAACATTTATATATGCATAATATAAATATGCATAATAAAAGGGTTGCCCATAGGACCACAGTACAACTTAAGAAGGAGACCACTGGTCAGGTGTGGTGGCTCACACCTATAATCCCAGCACTTTGGGAGGCTGAGGTGGATAGATCACCTGAGGTCAAGAGTTCAAGACCAGCCTAGCCAATATGGTGAAACCCCCTCTCTATTAAAAAAAAAAAAAAAAAAAAAATCAAAAAATTAGCCAGGGAGTAGTGGCGGGGGCCTGTAATCCCAACTACTCAGGAGGCTCAGGCAGGAGAATCGCTTGAACCTGGGAGGCAGAGGTTGAAGGAAGCCGAGATTGTGCCACTTCACTGCAGCCTGGGCGACAAGAGCAAAACTCGGTCAAAAAAAAAAAGAGAGCATTAATAAGACACTGGAAGCACTCTGCGTACCTGACTCCAATGCCTTCTGAACTTTGTGTTTATCATCATATTACTCTTTGTTATAATTTTATTGTACACAAATATATTCCTAAACAATGTGGAGTTTAGAATGTTTTTGACCTTTTTACAATTGCTTATGCACCAGTAAAAGTTCTGCTTTTGTATTCCACTCCATACATACACAGCAATTTATCTATCAATTCTAATGTGATAAGTTGTTTGCAGTACTTTGCTAGCATGAAAGACAATGCTAAGAGCACTCATACACATGATACACAGACACGTTCAAGAATTCCTGTAGTAAATACACCCACCAGCAACTGCTAGGTTTCAAAGTCTGCATGTTTTTTCAACTTTGCCAGAGAATGGCCAAAATTATTTTCAAAGTGCTTATATCTCTTCATATCTGCAGTGATTAAGGATCTCTACTGGTGACATCCTCATTAAATATGGACTCTTGAGAGGCTAAAATATGTGTCAAACTAGGAGGTGCAAAGGAGTGTCTCACTGTAGCTGTGAATTTAAATTTCTGTGATTAGGAATGCACTCCCTCCAAATGTTTATTTTACTATTTCCTCTTCTGTAAAAATGTTGGTGTCATCTGCCCATTTTTCTACTAAGTTGTCTTTTTATTGATACTCCTTTATTTTCTCTAAAAATTGTCCAATTTTACCTGTCATATTTAAGCCTTCAATTCAGAACTGTTTTTGTGTGCTGCAAGTCAGAGGCAGTCTCATTTCATTTTTCTACAGGGAAAACACTGTCACAGAACCACCTTTCCCCACGGACCAGCAGCCAACATTTTTGTCATACATTCATCAAGTTTCCATATATGCAGGGTCTCTTTTCTGGTCTATCTTTTGGTGTCACGGTCCCTAAGATTAGAATTAAATGTCTGTTAGACCAGGGGTCCCCAAGCCCCCAGCCACAGACTGGTATCAGTTTGTGGCCTGTTAGGAACTGGGCCACACAGCAGGAGGTGAGTGGCAGGGTGGGGGGGCGAGTGAGCATGACCACCCGAGCTCCACCTCCTGTCAGAGTAGTGGTGGCATTAGACTCTCATGGGAGCACGAACCTCATTGTGAGCTGCACATGCGAGGGATCTAGGTTGTGAGCTCCTTTTGGGAATCTAACGCCGATGATCTGAGGTGGAACAGTTTTATCCCAAAACCATCTCCAATCCTCGTCCACGCAAAAATTGTCTGCCATGAAACCAGTCCCTGGTGCGAAAAAGTTTGGGGACTGCTATATTAGACCTGCCTATAAAACTATATAGAATTGAGGAGTTTTTGTTAGTTTAATAGAAAAATTTTAAACTAGTGTTTGAATTTGATAGTTACAGGATTATTTCAGTTTTCTTCTTCAAAATCCAGCTTCATTAGCCTTGCATTTTTCTAGATATTTATGTGTTACAATATGGGGGAGAAGAGGATATCCCCTTTTCCTCTATTTTGGCAGGGTGGGTGGATTCACTTTTAAATTTTTGTTTTTAATTGACACATAGTAATTGTACATATTTATGAGTACAGTGTGATGTGTCAATACATATATGTATTGTCTAAAAAATCAAATTAGGGCATTCAGCATATCCATCACCTCATACATTTATCATTTGTTTGTGGTAAGAAGACTAAAAATCCTCTCTTCTAGCTGTTTTGAAATGTGTAACACTGTTAACCATAGTCACCCTACTGTGCAAGAGAACACCTGAACTTATACCTATCTAACTGTAACTTTGTACCCGCTGACCAGCCTCTCCCTCTCCCCGCTCCCCACTAGCCTCCCCTATCTATTTTAAATTTATTCACATGAAGTTGCTCATTATATTCTTAGTAACATTTAAACTGTGCATTTAAACATTTAAACTTCTGGTAGGAGTATAAAATTATGTTATACAACCACTTTGGGAATGCAGTTTGCAAAGTTTGGCAGTTTCTTGTAAAATTAAACATATGCCTACCCTATGACTCAGCAACTTCACTCCTTTTTATTTACCCAAGAGAAATGAAAACATATGTTCACAAAGAAATGTGTATAAAAATGTTCACTGGCTGGTTGCAGTGGCTCACACCTGTAATCCCAGCACTTTGGGAGGCCAAGGCAGGTGGATCATGAGGTCAGGAGATTAAGACCATCCTGGCCAACATGGTGAAACCCCATCTCTACTAAAAATACAAAAAATTAGCCAGGCGTGGTGGTGTGGGCCTGTAGTCTCAGCTACTCAGGAGACTGAGGCAGGAGATTCGCTTGAACCTGGGAGGCGGAAGTTGCAGTGAGCTGAGATCAAGCCACTGCACTCCAGCCTGGCAACAGAGCAAGACTCAGTCTCAACAACAACAACAACAAAAAGTTCACAGCAGCTTTATTCAAATAGCCAAAACCTGAAAACAACTCAGCTGTCCATCAGTAAGAGACTGGATCAACTGTGGTGTAATTACACAGTGGAATAAGCTCAATAATAAAAATGATACCAAAACATAGATGGATTGCAAAAAAACTATGCTGAGTGAAAGAAGCCTTACACAAGAGAGTACACACTATGAGATTCCATCTACACAAAATCCCAGAACAGACAAAACTAATACATAGCAGAAAAAACATCCCTGAAGCCACTGCCTCCGGAGATATGGGGTGGGGACTGACATGAAAGAACTTTCTGGAGTAAAGACTTCACATGTTGACAGCAGCTTGAGTTACACATTGTACTGCATGTACATTTTACATTCAAAGAAAAAACTGTAAACACACTGAACTCCAGTTAATCATGTACATAAGTATTCCAGAGGAAGTACTGATGTCTACATTATTTTAAAATGCCTTAAAAACTGCATTAATGGATTAATACTAACTTTACTACCTATCTAATAAAGTAAATAATAAAATGTTAACTGTAACATCTAAGTAGTGGGTATATAAATATATAAATTTTTTTTCCATCTTAGCTGTATGCTGAAAATTTTCATGACAAAATGTTAGAAAAAAATGTTACTTCAAAGTCACATATTCCTAATTTTTAAAAGTGGCAATTTTATGTACTTACAATTTACAACTATAACAAATTAAGAATAGGGTCTTATTTCTCTCATGAAATTCCTGAACGAGTGACAAAATATAAAACATCATTCTCTACCTGAGCCTACGGCTTTACTTCTTGATTTCTTCTTTTTGCCATGAGACATCTTCCCTTTTTTCTGAGTTTTCTACAAAAAAAAAAAAAAAAAAGCATTAAGGTTTTAAGAAGTTTTCTTTCTCTTAAAACATAAGGATTAAGACTGTTACCAAACTGTCATTCAATATTTTAGCTGGGCATAGTGGCTCATGCCTGTAATCCTAGCACTTTGGGAGGCTGAGGCAGGCAGATCACTTGAGGTCAGGAGTTCCAGACCAGCCTGGCCAACATGGTAAAACCCCACCTTTACTAAAAATACAAAAATTGCCAGGGTGTGGTGGCGCACGCCTGTAGTCTCAGCTACTGGGGAGGCTGAGGCAGAAGAACTGCTTGAACCTGGGAGGAGTCAGAGGTTGCAGTGAGCTGAGATTGCACCACTGCACTCCAGCCTGGGTGACAGAGCGAGACTCCATCTCAAGAAGAAAAAAAACTTTAGCTATAATTCTCATTTAGTTGTAAAACAGATTAGTTATATAAATTATCTACATTAATATAAGGAAGCATTGCAAACAAAACCATCACAAAATAAGAGCAAATAAAACTTTCAGTTGACTTATAACAATTGTTGCCTTGATGGGAAAGTTGAACTTTTATTACTTAAGATAATAACATGTGGAATCAGCTCAAATTTCTGTTCCAGCTACGGTGAAGTAACAGCTTCCAAACTAGCTCTCTTGCCATAAACAACCATAAAATGGGGGAAAAGGGGTGGCAATTTTATTCAGGCATTGGACAACAGGCAATACAAGACTGAGTTCCAGGAGAAAGGGGAAACTTGGAAGGTGAACCCTATGACTACCACCCCCACTCCACGCACACAGTTTCTAAATGGGGTATAGTGAGCTGAAGTCTAAGCAGGGCATGACAATCCTACCCAGCTGAGAGGCACTTGGAATAAGCTGCTCAGGAGAGCACAGGTGCCTGTGGAGCGGGGGTCCTAAGAGGCCTTGTCTAAGTACTGCCCATGTGCCGGGTGAGACCACATAAAGCCTACCAGAAAACGCTATCGTGAGGATAACAACATAGTTGATAATGAAGGGCAAGCAGCATTGGGGGCACAGGACAAGGTAAATGTACGTGGGAAAGAGACAACTCACGGCTCATCAGAAACCATGGAGACCAGAAGACAACAGAATGGTATAAAGAGCTGGGGAATAAATCTGTCAACTCAGAATTCCACAGCCAGTGAAATATCCTTCAAAAACAGAGTTGAAATAAAAACACTTCCGGATAAACAAAATCTGAGAGAATTTGTCACCAGCAGACCTGTCATGAAAGAAATGCTAGAAGATATTCTGTAGGCTGATGGAAAAAGATAACAAATGGAAACTAGTATCTATAGGCAGGCAATCAGTGAACTGGAGAGAGGAACAGGTAGAAGACTACAGAGCTGCTGCTTCTCATATTTTTTTTTTTAAAAAACAACTCTTTCAAGCAGAAATGACAATACTGTAAGGTTAGATTTGTAACACAGAAGTAAAACAAGACAAAACAGCACAGAGGATGGGGATGGATAAATAGAATTATACATAATATTGTTACATAATTACATTTATGTAGTGGGAGGTAGTTAATTGTCAAGTAGAATGTATGAAGTGATAACACACTGATTCTAAATAGACTTTGTTAATTTAAGGATGTACATTTTTAACCCAGGAGCAACCACTGAAAAAAATTTAAAAAGGTACAGCTAAGAAGTCAATAGAGAAAATAAAATAGAATACAAAAACAACGTTCAACTAATCCAAAATGAGTTCTAAGAGAGACAGAAAACAGGAGCAAATGGAAAACAGAGTATGGTAGATGTGAACCTCACCATATTTAAAATTACATCAAAAGTCAATGGACTTTTAGCAGAAGTTAAAAAAATACCTCCTCTAAGTAACTGATGGATCAAGCAGACCATCCCCCATCACCAAAAACAAGAGTAAGGAGACAAAATCTCTGAACTACGCTTGACCTCAACTGACATTTACAGAACACAACTGCAAATTCAAGTGCACATGGGATGTTCACCAAGACAGATCAACAACAGAGATCATAGTTTGCTTCAATTTGTGTAAAGACAGGAAATAAAAATAAGAATATACATTCATACTTGTTTACATGTACAAAAGGAAATTTGAAAGATATATAAGAAAGTATAAGGTTACCTGTGTGTATGTTAAGCAGGTGGAAAGGTGAAGAAGACAGGGTAGCAGGGACAATTTACTATACTTCAAAAAGTTTTCAAACATGAGCATAAATTATTTATTCAATTAAGTCCAAATGAATTAATCACATATTAAGAACTTGCCAAAAGATATTATATGTCAAGAATTTTAGAACCAATAAGACCCAGAGTTCTTTGTTTTTTGAGACTGAGTCTCACTCTATTGCCCAGTACAGTGGCACAGTCTCAGCTCACTCCAACCTCCGCCTCCTGGGTTCAAGTTGATTCTCTTGCTACAACCTTCTGAGTAGCTGGGATTACAGGAATGCACCACCACACCCGGCTAATTTTTGTATTTTTAGTAGAGAAGGGGTTTTGCCATGTTGGCCAGGCTGGTCTCGAACTCCTGACCTCAGGTGATCCACATGCCTTGGCCTCCCAAAGTGGTAGGATTATAGGCATGAGCCACCGCGCCTGGCCTAAGACCCAGAATTCTTATCAGAAATGATCTAAGGAATGCACGAATATTTAGCTACAACAAAATTCATCAAAGCACTTATAATTTTTTAAATAGCAATTCTTCATTAGTAAGAGATTAACTATGGCATGCCATGAATGGAATGTTACGCATTGTTGAATACTTAATAACAAGTATATGATCTCAGGGTAATTAAAGCTCACTGAAAGGACTGAACAGCATAGACCAAAAGACGTGGTTATTTTGGGTTATGGAATTATAGGTGATTTTATCTTCTTTTCCATACCCTCTAGTTTTTTTTTTTTTTTTTTTTTAAGACGGAGTCTTGCTCTGTCACCCAGGCTGGAGTGCAGTGGTGCAATCTCAGCTTACTGCAACCTCCGCCGCCTGGACTCAAGCGATTCTCCTGCCTCAGCCCCCTGAGTAGCTAGGATTACAGGCATGCGCCACTGCATCCAGCTAATTTTTGTACTTTTAGTAGAGACGGGGTTTCACCATGTTGCCCAGGCTGGTCTTGAACTCCTGACCTCAGGTGATCCCCCTGCCTCGGTCTCCCAAAGTGCTGGGATTACAGGCGTGAGCCACTGCACCCGGCCATACCATCTAGATTTTCTAAAACAAACATTTTTATTACATTAAGGAAAATATAAAATTTATCTTTGAAAAGATATGAAGGAAAGAGAAAATGCTTCATTTTCTTCCCCAAAATTTTTCAATAAACCTTTTTTGCTCTCCTTGGGGATGGCTGACATTCTTACCGATTGACTTTCTAGTGCCAAGTTCTCTTGTTCAACAGAGGGCTGGGCACTAAGGGGTCCTGTCTTTTTAGAAGTGACCGACTCAGCTGGTTTCTCTGAAAGTTCTGAAGATGCTGTAGTTGGAATAACCTCATGACGCTGTATATTTGTTTTCTCTGCTGATTTAACTTTTCTTCTTGTATCACTTCCTTCAGTGCTTTCAGAGTCATCACTAATGGGCTTGAGCTTTCTTCCTGGCTGTGTAAAAGAAAAAAACAGCAGTACTTATTTAGAAAATAGAAATGCTTATAATTCTTACTGTAATAGTAGAAAACATATATACAGTCCACATTACTCACTTCTAAACTTCAAAACTGAACATAATAGGAAGACAGCAACATAATTAATGGATAGGACAGGAAACCTAAATCAAAGGTTACAATAAACACTCCCAACAATTCCCTCTGCCTTTTAAAATCACGACCTAACCACAGTACAAGAATGCTATGAAAATTGACAAAGTACATAGAGATGTGAGACCTCTTTAATGAAAAACACTTCAGATACAAAAATATTTTGCTTTTTACTATAAAAGTATATTCTAAAAATAGAACTTTATGAAAAATGTTGCTATGGAATATTTTCTCTATTTGCATCCATTCTAAAGAGGAAATGAAATATTTTACAGAACATTTTCTATTTGAATCCAATCAAACTATATTACAAATTAAAATAGAGCGAATACTCCTACATACCTTTTTTGCACTAATTTTTACAGATTCGATTGCACTTGCTTCATTTCCAGAAGTGTCTGAACTGTAAAAAGTACAAGTCATCAATATCTTGTACACATTCCATTTATATTCGCATGTCTTCTCTAACTTGCTCATCCAACACGAAAACAGACTCAATTTAATGAGGAAATATCCTACTTGTCACATACAAGCCTGCCATGTTCCCAGGTTTACTGCTGCCTCCCACATCTTCCCATACCCAGGCCACATGAGTTTATCCCAGGCAAGCAAGTAACCTGTTCCATTACTGCAGCACCTGTGGTGATGTCTGAGAATTGCACTTTTCTCCAAGTTACCAGTCCCAGGCATATGGGCCATCATTTGTACTAAAAGCTAATCCACTAGGCCCATCCTTAGGTGATAGAAAAGGGAACACATTTTATCCTTTAAAAAGGAAAAAAATAGTCCTAACTTCTGATGGGCTATGAAAATTCATCTTTTCATTTTGTTCAATACAACAAATTTATTTAACACCAACCTCAAAATACAAAGTACAGTGAATAAAATTACTTCAAAATTGAGAGGTTTTCCTTCAAAGGGTTCACTGTCTAGTAGGAAGGCCAAAGATAGTGCAGAGTGATGACCTGGCAAGCACCTGACAGAGAAGATGATGTGGAGACATGGCTTGGGTATTAGGAAAGGCATCACAGTTATGACACTTGGCGGTGACTGGTAAAAAACTTTTTTCAGGAAAACAAGTGTGGAGAAGGACATTTAAAGCAGATGGAAAAGTTAATGTAAAAGCATGGTGGTGTAAAACAGCCTGGCACGTTCAAGAAACGTGCAACAGAGCACGGATAAAATGTATTTTCTAAGAGAAGATAGCAAACGCTCGGGAAAAGCCAAAGGCTATGACTGAAGGGCTGCAGGGTACCCACATGGGCATGCTGCATGGATCTCCTATGGTCAGCGCCAGCCTCCAGCTGCAGCGTCTTCTAGATCCACTGTAGCACCTTCTGGATCCACTGCAGCATCTGGGCAGAGGCTATAGCTGTGGGCAGTCTCTAGCCAACAAGTAAGCACAGCGAGGGTCTGGGGCCTCGACGTTTCTGCCTAATACAGGTCAGGCCTCCTTTTAACAGCCCTCACTCCTCCAGAGCTCCGCAGTGGCTTGTTCAGAACTGTAGGCACTGCAGTGCAATTTGAGGCCATCTCTGCCCCATCCTGCTTCTTCCAACTTTACCCTTCACAGATATCACTAATAAACCCCTTCCATTCCTAACTGCCTCAGTGTCTACTCACCCAAGGATCCAAACTGGCACGGGGGCCCTCTATGCCATGCATACAGACAAAGGAGAGCCCTAACAGGACGTGGACGTAGGAGTAAGACGAGACTGGGGTTTCAAAAGATCACTCTGGAAGGTGTATGGGAAGGTAGGCCAGAGGGAGCTGGCACGAGAGATAAGGACACCCGACAGGAAACTACCGCAGGAATGCTGGTAAGAGTGAAGTCCCCAAACCATGGCAGCCACAGGGAGGTGGCAGGGGTGTGGAAAGGAAAAACGGATTCTCAAGGCAGTCACAGGCCAGAAAAATAGGACTGGCCAGACAGAACATACCAGGACTGATTCCCAGATTGCTGGATTGGAGGGGACTGGGTGAATGGCAAGACTATTAACCTAGAGAATACCAAAAGAGTTCACTGACACTAGATGAGAAGGAAAAGGAGCTCAGTTTTGCCTTTGTTGAGTGAGGTGCCTATGGGCATCTAGAGAAATATGGCCAATGTGCAAGACATCTTGGAACTCAGGAGAGGGTCTGGACAAGAGACAAACTTGAGAAACGGTGGCACACAGGTAGTTAAAACCATGAGCGTGAACTGGGGTTAGATGGAGAAGAGAGGGCCAGAGAAGAGAGGGCTGAGAACAGAATCACCTACACATAAAGAAAAAAAAACAGGAGAGGAAACAGCCAGGAGCAAGATGGCTGAACAGAGGGCTCCACTGATTGTCCCCGCAGGAACACCAAGTTTAACAACTATCTACGCAAAGGGAGCACCTTCACAGGAAACAAAAGTCAGCTGAGTACTCACAGTACCTGTTCTTGACTTCCTATCGCTGAAAGACGCACTGAAGAGGGTAGGAAAGAGTCTACAATCGCTGACGCTACCCCTTCCCCATCTCCAACAGTGGCTGCGTGGCACAGAGAATCTGTGCTCTTAGGGGGAGAGCGCAGTGATTTTGCAGCTTTGCTTTGTAATCAGCGCTGTCCTTTAACAGTGGAAAGCAGAACCAGGCTGAACTAAACTGATGCCCACACACAGAGGGAACATTTGGACTAGTCCTGGTGTGAGGGGAATTGCCCATCTTAGCAGTGGGAGGTAGAGCTCTGACAAGCCTTGCCACTGTGGGCTAAAGTGCTCTGCGGCCCCACGTGAGCCTGAGGGGAGTCTAGGCCACAAGGATGGTAACTCCTAGTGCTGAGCTGGGCTTGGAGCCAGTGGACTGTGGGGGCATGAGACCTACTGAGACACCAACCAGTGTGGCTAAGGGTGTGCTGGCATCACCCCTCTCCCAGGCCCAGGCAGCACAGCCCATGGCTCCAAAAGAGACCTCTTTCTTCTGTGAGAGGAGAGGAGAGAGAAGAGTGGAGAGGACTTTGTTTTCCATCTTGGATACCAGCTCAGCCACAGTAGCACAGGGCACCAGTCAGGGTCATGAGACCCCCTAATGCAGATCACAACACCTAAGTCCTTTCAAATATCTGGAAAGCCTTCCCAAAAAGGATGGATCCAAACAAGCCCAGACTCCAATGACTACAATAAATACCTGACTCTTCAATGTCCAGACACTGATAAACATCCGTAAGCATCAAGACCATCCAGTAAAACATGACCTCATCAAATGAACTAAATAAGGCACCAGGGACCAATACTGGGGAAACAGCAGATACGTGACCTTCTAGACAGAGAATTCAAAATAGCTGTTTTGAGGAAACTCAAAGAAATTCAAGATAACACTGAGAAGGAATTCAGAATTTTATCAGATCACTTTAACAAAGAATTGAAATAATTTTTAAAAATCAAGCAGAAATTCAGTAGTTGAAAAATGTAGCTGACATATTAAAGAATACATCAGAGTCTCTTAATAGCAGAATCTATCAAGCAGAAGAAAGAATTAGTGAGCTTGAAGAAAGGCTATTTGAAAATACAGAGGAAAGAAAAGAAAAAAAAGAAAAACAGTCATGAAGCATGCCTACAGGGTCTAGAAAAAGCTTCAAAGGGCAAATCAAAGAGTTACTGGCCTTAAAGAAAGGTAGAGAAAGGCGGGCAGAAAGTTTATTCAAAAAGGTAGTAACAGAGAACTTTCTAAACCAAGAGAAAGGTATCAATATCCAAGTACAAGAAGGTTATACAACCAACACCAAGCAGCTTTAACCCAAAGAAGACTACCTCAAGGCATTTAATAATAAAACACCCAAAGGTCAAAGATAAAGAATCTAAAAGCAGCAAGAGAAAAGAAACAGGTAACTTACAATGGAGCTCCGATATGTCTGGCAGCAGACTTTCAGTGGACACCTTACAGGCCAGGAGAGACTGGCATGATATATTTAAAGTGTTGAAGGAAAAAAACTTTTACCCTATAAGAATATATCTGGTGAAAATATCCTTCAAACATGAAAAAGAAATAAAGACTTTCCCAAACAAAAGCTGAGAAATTTTATCAACTCCAGACCTGTCCCAAAAGAAATGCTAAAGGGAGTAATTCAAGCAGAAAGAAAAGGACATTAATGAGCAGTATAAATCACCTGAAGGTATAAAACTCACTGGTAATATTAAGTACACGGAAAAAGATAACACTGTAGCTGATGTGTGTAAACTACTCTCATTATAAGTAGAAAGACTAAAAGATGAACCAATCAAAAATAACTTTTCAAAACATAAACAGTACAATAAAAGTAAAAACAAAAAGTTAAAAAGTGGGGGAGCAAAGTGAAAGTGTAGAGTTTTTATTAGTTTTTTTTTGCTTGTTTATGAAAGCAGGGTTAAGTTGTTAATGGCATAAAATAATGGGTTATATGGCAGTACCTGCTAGCCTCATGGTAACCTCAAATTAAAAAAAAACAACAAATACATAAAAAGACCAAGAAATCACACTGCCAGAGAAAATCACCTTTACTAAAAGCAAGACAGGAAGGAAGAAAAGAAGAGAGGGCCACAAAACAATCAGAAAACAAAAAATAAAATGGCATGAGTAAGTCCCTGCTTAGCAATAGTAACACTGAATGTAAATGGACTAAACTCTCCAATCAAAAGACATAGAGTGGCTGGATTGGGGGGAAAAAAAAAAAGACCCAATGATTTGTTGCCTACAAGAAACACATTTCATCTATAAAGATACACACAGACTGAAAATAAAGGTACGGAAAAAGATATTCCATGCCAATGGAAACCAAAAAAAGGGCAGAATAGCTATACTTATTTCAGATAAACTAGATTTTTGAGACAGAAACTGTAAGAAGAGACAAAGAAGGTCACTACGTAATGACAAAAGGGGTCAAATTCAGCAAGAGGATACAACAATTTTAAATACACATGCACCCAACATTGGAACACCCAGATAGATGAAGCTAATATTATTAGAGCTAAAGGGAGAGACAGACCCCAATACATTAGCTGGAGACTTCAACGCCCCACTTTCAGCACTGGAGAGATCTTCCAGACAGAAGATCAATAAAGAAACAGCAGACTTAATCTGCACTGTAGACCATATGAACCTAACAGATATTTATAGAACATTTCATCCAACAGCTGCAGAATACACATTCTTTTCCTCAGCACATGGATCATTCTCAAGTACAGACCATGTGATAGGTCACAAAACAAGTCTTAAAACATTTTTTAAAAACTGAAATATCAAGTATCTTCTCTGTGGAATAAAACTAGAAATCAATAACAAGAGGAATTTTGGAAGTTATACAAACACACAGAGAAAAAATGTTAATGAAGGACCAGTGGGTCAATTAAGAGATTAAGAAGGAAGCTGAACAATTTCTTGAGACAAATGATAATGGAAACACAACATACCAAAACCTATGGGATACCACAAAAGCAATACTAAGAGGGAAGTTCACAGCTATAAGTGCCTACATCAAAAAAGAAAATCTTTAAATAAATAACCTAATGATGCATCTTAAAGAACTAGAAAAGCAAGAACAAACCAAATCCAAAACTAATAAAGATCAGCTTTTATAAATAAATGTATAAATTTACCTCAACCCAATAAAGATTGTAACTTTTGCTTTTAACTTAACAAGTAGCTCTTAAAAATCATTTAAAAAAATGAGAAAACAATGAGAAAAGTTGCATTTATACCTCACAAGAATAGAAAAGATCAAGGATTTTAATACAAATCATACAAGTTCTAAAAGAAAACATGAAGGGAGACATCTTCCTAACTATGACTCAAAATCCCTAAACGCTAAGAGTGATAAATATATCACCGTATCTAAATAAAACTAAACATTTTCTATGTTGGAAAAAAAAACACCACCATTAGGTGTTTTGTCAAAAGACAGATGAACCAGTTAAAAAAAAAACTGTAACATAGGGCTCATCTCACTAATGTTTAAATGAAGTCATGAAGAAAATGACCAACATCAACTATAGTAAAAAGGATATAAACAGTTTGCAGAAAGACAAATTCAAGAGCTTTTAAATAATTGCTGTTCAATCATTCCTAAGAAGAATACAAATTAGAACTAGGCTGGGATAGCATTTTTGACCTATCACATTGGCAAAAATCCAAATTTGATCTCACTTTGGTGGCAATGTGGCAATAACTATAAAAATGACAAACACATTTCATTTGACTCAGAATTTCACTTTTATGACTATATCCTATAGATACACAAGCACAAGTGTGAAATGGCACTCCCAGTGGCACTGGGAGTGAGAGCACAGACGGGAAACAGCCTGACTGCCCATTCATACAGGACTGGATAATCACACTAAGGAACACTCATGCTGTGGAAAGGGTAGAACAATGAGAAAGCTCCACGTGTATTGACATGTGAAGATCTCTAAGATGTAGTAAGTGAAAAAAGCTAGGTAGCAACCTATGCTGCCTTTTGTACACAAAAAAAGGGTTAAAATGTGTTTCATATTTACTTTTATATGCACCAAGAAATTCTGGAAGGACATATGAGAAAATAATAAGGGAGAGGGAAGAAGTGGGTTCTAGGAGCTAGATGGATAGTAGACATGATATGAAGACTTACTATACACCTTTTTATATTTTTAAACCATGTGAATGTTTACTCAAAGTATTCCTCTTTAAAAATTACATTCACCACTATTTAGAGTGCATGTTTTCCAAATGTATGACTTCTACTGATTTTCAGTAACATATAAAACTGGAGTCAGCCAGGAGCGGTGGTTAACACCTGTAATCCTAGCACTTTGGGAGGCCAAGGCGGGCAGATCACGAGGTCAGGAGATCAAGACCATCCTGGCCAACATGGTGAAACCCCATCTCTACTAAAAAATACAAAAATTAGCTGGGCATGGTGGCATGCGCCCGTAGTCCAAACTACTCGAGAGGTTGAGGCAGAAGAATTGCTTGAACTGAGGAGGTGGAGGTTGCAGTGAGCCGAGACAGCGCCACTGCACTCCAGCCTGGTGACAGAGTGAGTCTCCAAAATAACCAAGTACTATAAAACTTCCCTAGTATAGACAATCTCAAAATGACTTCTCAGATTTCTGCCCAACTGGAATATTTGTTTTAAAACTGCAGTTTTGGCCGGGCGCGGTGGCTCACGTCTGTAATCCCAGCACTTTGGGAGGCCAAGGTGGGCAGATCATGAGGTCAGGAGATCGAGACCAGCCTCGGTAACACGGTGAAACCAGTCTCTACTAAAAATACAAAAAAAATTAGCTGGGCGTGGTGGTGGGCGCCTGTAGTCCCAGCCACTCGGGAGGCTGAGGCAGGAGAATGGCGTGAACCCGGGAGGCGGAGCTTGCAGTGAACCCAGATCACGCCACTGCACTCCAGTGTGGGAGTCAGAGCAAGATTCCATCTCAAAAAAAACAAATAAAGAAACAAACACTGCACTTTTGATACTTGCTAAATACATTTAGTAACTAGAACTGACCTATTACCCAATAGAGGTCCATAAGTCAAAGGGCTGCTCTAGATAACAACTTAAAATGAGTACTACAGTTATCGAAGAGTTCTGCATTATATAACTTGCTCCCAAGTTTTCTCTATGAAATCATTTTTATAGAGATTTTCCTGACCTATACGTTCACATAAATCTGAAAGACTCAACCAATGCGCCTCAGGAACAATGCATCTGAAACAGGCTTTGTATTGCTTTGTAATCATCACCTACCATATACAAGGAAACATCTCATTTGTGATCATTAGTTGGTAAATGAAAGAGACCTCCCAAAAATCACCTAAAATTTTATGCTCATAAAATCTTTCCCTCCTTTCTTATTTGACGCAAAGCTAAACTATCTTCCTAGGCATGATTTCTAGGATAATCAGGTGTGAATTCTGTCAGTTATCACAGCTATTATAATTATCGTAATTGTCAATTATTAATAAAGTTTTTATGCCTCAGTTCTCTTGAGAAAAAGCATAACAAGTTGGCTCAAAGTATCTTAAAACGCTTTCTTTTTATTAGCTTCTATCTCAGAAATCCCATTAACCATGAATAAACAATTGCTTGAAATATACCAGTACCTTATTTTTGCTTCTTTTCCTGGAGGAGTTGAAGGGATAGATAGTCCACCAAGTTTGGAGAATTCTTCTTCATCAGCATATATAGCTGTGCTATGTAAAGGAGGATCTTTCAAAAGACAAAAAAGAAGACAACTTTAAAAGTCTGGCTATTTGGGCAATACTGAAGTTTATTCCCTTACAATGGAGTACAAAACAATCTTTGTTCAACTAACAAAATCAAAATCAATTAAACAGGCCACTTCCCAAATGTTTTTGATCTCACACCTCAACAATAAAAATTTTAAACCCTATCACCAACAAACACATGAATATTTATGAATAATAAACCTTTGTTACCGCACTTACATGGAATTATTTTTGGTGTTTGAAACAGGGCCTCATGCTGTTGCCCAGGCTGGAATGCAGTAGTGCGATCTCAGCTCACTGCAGCCTGGAGCACCTAAGCTCAAGCGATCCTCCTGCCGCAGCCTCCTGAATAGCTGGGACTACAGGCACATGCCACCATGCCCAGGTAATTTTTAAATTATTTGTAGAGACAGGGTCTCACTATGTTGCCCAGGTTGGGGAAATTTTAATGAGATAAAAATATAAATCGGAAATCTAACATTTTCTTTCCTCATCCCTGTCAGGTGTCATACACTCTGCATTAGAGACCACTGCATTAAACTATAAACTCTACAGGCCTAGAGAGGTCACCTCACAAAGTGCCCTGCATATAGCGGTCATACAGTATTTTTGAATGAAAAGCCCTTTGGGGAGATTCCAGGCCTCCCTTACTTCCTCTCTGCTTTACTCTGGGATGCCAGAGCCTTTAGATAGCATATAAAGGTACCTTGAATGAGGAAGAAGATAAAAGAGAAGGAGAGCAAATGGACTTGGTGGAAAGGCATAGAAAAGAGATGCTAAGAGGAGAAAGATGCTCCTAGCGGGTGCTCAGGAAAAAGGAGTAACAGGAGAGATCCAGGACTTATCGCAGGGGTAGAGAGCTTGAAGAAGAGGTGGCCAGTGGTGACAGAACTAAACTGCTGTAAGGGGGCCTGGTAAGAGCCAAGCAACCATTTCTTCATGCTCAAAGTTTAGCACGACAGTGCAAACTTCAACATTTTTTCAACTAAACAGCTGCTTAAATAATGAACATATCAACTGCACAATTTTTAAGTTAGTAGTATACTTTGTATTGCCTTCAACAAGGCAAAGGGATTTATTTACTTCATTGCTGTGAATAACAAGGGGGGGAAAAGAAATAGAACAATCCCAAATGTTCACAGATAACCACTCATATAAACTGGATTCTCACAACTTCACAATAAAAAGACAAATAATCCAATTTAAAAACGGGCAAAGGGTGAACAGAAACTTCTTCAAAGAATATGCAAATGGCCAATAATCATGTATAAGAGGGTCAAAGGGGAAAAAAAAGCAAATGGTCAGCCATAAGCACACTGAAAAGGTGCTGAACACCATTAGTAATTAGGGAAATATGAATCAAAACCATAATGAGATAGTACTTCACACCCTAAGCTTAGGCTAGCTATTATTTAAAAAACAAAAACAAACACACACCCAGAAAATGACAAGTGTAGGCAAGGATGTGGAGAAACTGAAATCCTTGGGCACTGCTGGTGGGAATACAGGCACTGCGGAAATGGTGACTCCTGAAAATATAAAATATATATGATCCAGCAATCCCATTTCTGGGTAAACGCCCAAAAGAGGGGAAAGCAGGGACTCAAACAGCTATTGATACACTCATGTTAGTATTAATAGCAGCATTATTCACAGTCAAAAAGCAGAAGTAACCCAAGGGTCCATTAACAGATGAATAGATAAATAAAATGTGGTACATACAGACTGTTCTTCAACGTAAAAAGGAAATTCTGGCTGGGCGCGGTGGCTCATGCCTGTAATCCCAGCAATTTGGGAGGCCGAGGTAGGTGGACCACCTGAGGTCAGGAGTTCAACGCCAGCCTGGCCAATATGGCAAAGCCCCATCTCTACTAAAAAAATAAAAAAATTAGCCAGGCATGGTGTGGAAGGGAGGGGAGCGCCTGGAATCCCAGCCACTCAGGACGCTGAGGCAGGGAGAATTGCTTGAACCTGGGAGGTGGAGGTTGCAGTGAGCCGAGATTGCGCCACTGCAGTTCAGCCTAGGTAAGAGAGCAAGTCTTTGCCTCCAAAAAAAAAAAAAAAATATTCTGACTCAGGCTACAACACAGATGAACCTCAAAGACATTATGCTAAATGAAATAAGCCAGTTACCAAAGAACCAACTATTGTATGCTTCCTTTTACATCAGATTCCTAGAAAGCAGAATGATGGTTGCCAGGAGTTGAGGGGAGGGGAGAACGGGAAGTTGTTTAATAGATAGAGCGTTTCAGTTAGGAAAGATGAGAAAGTTCTGGAGATGGATGGTGATGATGGTTGCACAACAATGTGAATGTATTTATCTGCTACAGAGTTAATACACTTAAAAAAGGTTAAAATGGTAAACTATATTTTACCACCCATACCCCCACCAATACACTCACACCCACAATGAGGTGCAGGGATGGCTAGAATAAAAAACTCGGTAAGTTTCAGTGAAGTTGTGCAGAAACGACAACTCTCATACACTGCCATGGAATTATAAAGTCATGTAGCTGCTTTGTAAAACAGTTCCTTAAAAAGTTAAAAATAGAATTACCGTAGGACTCAGCAATTCTGCTCCCACTATATGCCCAAGTGAAAAAAGCCCACACAAAAACTCATACACAAATGTTCATAGCAGCATTATTCATAGTGGCCAAAAAATAGAAACCACCTAAATGTAACTGATAAATGGATAACAAGTTGTGGTATATTCAAACAATGGAGTATTGCTGATCTATAAAAACGTGTAGGAATGAAGCAGATACACACTACAACATGGATAAACCCTGAAAACACAAACTAAGTAAAAGAAGCCAGTCACAAAGGACCAGAGTCTAGGATTCCACTGATATGTACAGAAATGGCAAATCTGCAGAGACAGAAAGGAGATTCATGGCTGCCAGGGGCCTGAAGGGGGAAGAGGGAGTGACCACTCATGGGTACAGGGTTCTCTACAGGATGATAACAATTTTCTGGAACTAGATAATGCAGACAGTTGTACAACCTTGTGAATAAACTAAAAACCAATGATGTGTACAGTTTAAAAGGGTGAATTTTATGGTATGTGAATTCATTTCCATTTTTTAAATTATGGGGTTTTAGGTTCACATCTTTTAGATTTAGATTTTAGACAAACAGGACATTTTTATCAAGTCATAATAAAAGACATTATTCTGGTGAATATATTTCACCTTATAAAATGTATAATATTTTCTTTTATTAACAAAAAATTAAACCAAAGCCTTCAAAATTCTCTTAAAACTTATTCCAGCAAAAATGCCTGACTACTACAGTTCTAGATGTGGGGGCACATGGCATTTTCTCTGTCATTTCTGGCCTCTGGAGTGCCCAGTGACACAAGCAGCCCACCCTGACAACTCACACACTCCTGGCCAGCCAGGTACTGACCTTTTAGCTCATACTCCAAAGGAACACAGGTGAAGCTCTCTCACTGGCTCTCCCAAAGCATCCCCTGCCTCCATGAGTTTAGGACAAAGGAAAATTACCCATACTCTTCTCCTCCCTAAATTAATGGCTCTATCAAACGGTAGAATGAAGTGAGAAATGTATTCTATGCTCCTCTTGTTACAGAGTACTATAGTAAGTGTCCTCATGTGACTGGATTGTTAACGAATACCACTAGAAGAGTGCCACCACTTTGATAATGTTCTTAGTTTCAATGTACCTAGACATGAGAAAAATTAATTCAAATTATCAAGTACTCCCCAGAGAACATTATATTTACATGCAGGCAACTAATTTTTATATTTGAAGATATTTCTAATTTTTATTATATCTGGCCTAAATGTTGTTGCTTTAGAGTTATGTTAGGATAAAGATTTAAAGTACTAACCAAAGGTCTCATCAGGTTCTTCATCTTTCTCATTTTCACCCAGCCTGCCAATGCTTGAGACATCAGAATTATCAGGAAAGTCGAACACGTCAATAGGCTTGCACTTTTGACCAGCTTTCTAAAAGTGAATGAAGTTGAAGTTACTGAGTTGGCTCTCACAAAGAACAATAGGCTGATTTATGCAGCAAGAATATTCTTGTAATCACTGCTGCCTAAGGAAGCAATCCTTAAGCATGGGGTGATGGATTCACTACCTACCCCGATTGGGTCATTATACAACATAGACATGTATGGCAAGATCAAATCATACCCCACAAATGTGTACAGTTACAATGTTTCAGGTAAAATAAAAAGAAAGAAGCAAGCTAACACTTTTTGGGGACACAGACTCTTTTGATAACCTAAGGCAAGGATTGGCAAACTTTTTCTATAAAGGACCAGAAAGTAAATTATTTTAGGCTTTGCAGGCCATAAGGTTTCTCTTTTGACTACTAACTCAACCACTGTCACGTGAATGACGACAGTAACCACACAGAAAAGAATGAGCATGGCTGTGTTCCAATACAATTTGACTTCTGAACACTGCAATTTGAATTTAATATCATGTTCACATGTTATAACATAGTCTTTTCATTTCAACCATTAAAAAATGTAAAAACCATTCCTAGCTTGCAGGGATATACAAAAACAGGTGGCAGGCTAGATTTGGCCCATGGACCAGTTTGCCTACACCTCTGACCTAGGGAAAGTGATGGGTCCTATCTCCGGAAATATGCCCATATACCCAAAAGTTCATAAACAGTTTTAAGGGTACACATGGGTTAACAACTCCTGACTAAAGGACACCAGGGTTTACAGTTCAATATACTGATATGCCCATGAAGTCTGCTACCCCAAATCTAATGAAACATGAAAACATATATAAATTGAGAAAAACTTTCATGGTAGTTCCGGAAAATGTGGAAGGGTAGTATTAACAGATACGAAAATAAGAAAATTCTGGCAGGTATAAAGGAGGTAAAATAAAATTGGCAAACCATATACAAACTTGACCATTCAGATGCCCCCAGTAAACGAATCATTCCTGGAGTGCTTGTGGGTGGAATGCAAAGAGAGCTGGCAGGTCTTCCAGCCCCTCCCAAGGCACAGGGGGCCTCCACATGTAAGGCACTGCCTTGCAGAGGGAAGGCCAGGAAAGCTGAATCCATTCCAGGAACTCTGGGCTTCCAGCTAAGGCTGGAGCTTAGATAAATCCCTCCGATGCACACTGGACTTTGGCTACTAATGGCAGGGGCAAGGCAGGACAACTGAGAGAAACCCACCCAAAGAACCCGCGAAGTAATGCTGGGGTGGGAGCAGAGCGCTGAGCAAAATCCTGCAGGGTGATCCCAGGGTTTCCCAGAGGGGAAGAGAGCTATCCTCTTCAGGCTGGGGTTAAGGACTATGCAGGACAAAGAAAGCCCAGGGCAGAACAAGCAGAAGTAACTCCTTCCAGGGTGCCTGGCACTGTCATACACTGTTAATGTGAGATTACAATGCCAATCACACAAGCCACTGGAAAAAATATTGGAATTAGCAATCAAGAACATTAAAGAAATGTACACACTTTTCACATACATTTATTCTAGGACTCTACTCTAAAGAAAAGTAAACCTGTAATGTGAACTAAGTGGAGTATCATGAAATCATAAACAATTCTTGAAAAGTACAATGAGAAATGGCTTTAAGTGAAAAAAGTTGACAGCATTGTACAATTTTTACATGAAGCCAATTATCTAAACGAAAATAAAACCAACCTAGGCTCAGAAATAAAGGAAATTCTAAAACATTAACAGAAGTCATTTTATCCACTATAGTGGAAAAAGTGTGAGGAAAATGAACACACTTTTTCACTACAAGAAACATTGAACTTGCCAAGTGAAGTCTACAAAACTGAGGTACTCAAAAAATGTTATTTTGTACTGTTAATTTTGAGAAAACTACAACACAAAAAGATAACTTACATCTTTCACGGAATGTGTTCTTTCTAAAGTGTTCTTCGAACGTCTTGCACTATTAAACAGCAAAAAAAAAACCACAAGAGTTATGAAATAGTTAAAATAACTGAGGAAACACCATAGTTATGATCCTTTCCACACATTTTTACAAAAAAAAAAAAAGGACCCATATTCCACAAATTTATTTTTTATAGGTCAAATCCTATCACCAATGTTATAAAATAACATACCTCTCCCCCTCAGGGACATGGAAAAGTTGGAATCTTGCTGTTAACTTTTTCCCTGAGGCCTTAATCAATCAGCAGTAATTGACTTTCTCTGCAGAGCTGAACAAAGGGGAGGTAGGCTAATGCTAAGTCCGGACACCTGCTCCATCCTGTACCTGGCTCTCGTATGTCCTTTTCTCATTTAATTCTAACAGTCCTATAAGGTAGAAGTGAATCCCATGTTACAGATGCATGCTTGCCCACAGCAACACGGAGCCAGGAGGGAGACAAGCCTGCATTAACATTTACATCAGTTCAAATCCAGGGCCTGCCCTCGACCTCCCTTCACACTCTCTCAGTTGGGCCATAGCTTCAAACGATAAAGTTGTATATATATCTTCAACAAGCTTCAAGGAAACAGATGTAACAATGGTGACTAGAATAAAAACGAGAAATAACAGTGGCAGGAATTATATATTATTATTACTAATAGTGCCAGGAGTCAGTGAATATGTACAGACTATCCTCCACCAACCAGGCATCATACAAGGGTACGGGGGGATACTCTGGAATAATACAGTACATAATTCCTGACTTTAAAATATGCCATGCAGATTGTAGCCATATTTTTCTCATTTGTAGATAGCAAAATCAGCTTAGTGAGTCTAAACCAATGTTTTAGTATCCTTTTATTTGATATCATTTCAAGCTCACAGAAAAGTTGCAAACAGTACAAGGACCTTCTGTATGCCCTTTACTCATTTGCTGTGTGCGTGCGTGCGTGCGTGTGTGTGTGTGTGACTGGAGACACTGTGCACCTCTACCCCTAAATACCATAATATGTCTTTCCTAGGAGGGCATTATCCTGCATATTCATGGTACAATTTCTAAAATCAAGGAATTTAACACTGATACCATAATCTAATCTACAGTCCATACCCAAATCACATCAATTGTCCTATAATGTCCTTTTAAGATTGCCAGGCCAGCATTTTAAAAAAACAAACAAAAAAAGGAAAATATAAAATGAAACATTGCACTGGATATACTATGTTCATAAGCCTTTTGTTTTGTTATGTGTGGATGCATGCGCATGTGTACTAAGTGTGATATAAAACATCATTACTGTGAATCACAGTTTAAAAAAAAAAGGTTAGAAAACTGTTCACAGCAGTGGTTCCCAGACTGGAGTGTCATCAACATTCTCAGCAGGGCTTGTGAAACAGGTTGCTCAGCACCACCCCAGGAGTGTATGATTCAGTCCCTCTGGGGCATGGCCTGGGACTCTGCATTTCTAACAAGTTCATGATTTATTTACTTCATGAAACCTAAGGAAGAAGGTAGGACAAGTACTGGTTTTATGGCAATTTTATAGATGATGATTCCGGGGTTCCTAAAATTTAAGTGACTTATCAAGGGTCACAAAGCCAAGTAACAGAAACACAACAAAAACTAGACCACATAAACTTCTTCATCTAAACTCTTTGAGCTGTCTTGTCCTTTCTTGGGGGGGAAAAAAAGTCAAGGTTCCTCCTTGCCTTAGGTTGCAGTCAAGGTGGGGCTTCTGAGAGATAGAAACCTCTGTGACAACCCACAGGTAAAATTTCTGGGCCAGGTGCGGTGGCTCCCGCCTGTAATCCCAGCGCTCTGAGAAGTCAAGGCGGGCGGATCATGAGGTCAGGAAATCGAGACCATCCTGGCCAACATGGTGAAACCCCATTTCTACTAAAAATACACAAATGAGCTGGACATGGTGGCTCACGCCTGTAATCCCAGCTACTGTGGAGGCTGAGGCAGGAGAATCGCTTGAACCTGGGAGGCGGAGGTTGCGCCACTGCACTCCAGCCTGGGCTAGAGTGAAATTCCGACTCAAAAAAAAAAAAAAAAAAAAATTCTGTTGTATGTGCATTAGTGTGTTCTGGGAGGAGGCCTGAACAGATTTCATGAGTCTCAAACCCAAAAATGTTAAAAAAAAATAAAAATAAAGACAACAAAAACCACTAGCCTTTCGGATAAACTCTTTTCAGCTGATATTCAAGGCTGACATTCTTTTCTAATCCTCTTCTCCACTGGCCCCAGGAGTCTGGTCTCGGTTTCCCCACCTACCTGCGGTGTCCTGCTCCAGCTTTCCACCCTAACCCCGCAGCTGCCAGCACCACCTTCTCCAGGCAGCCTTCCCCGCCGGGGAACTCCTGTTGTCTTCAGACCGTCTTGGCGCACGGTTTTGTGCACGGTCTGCAGCGAGCCGAGACCCTTCCCGCCAGATCCAGGCCGGGCCTTGGATGGCCATTCGCCAACCAATCAGCGACCAGCATTCTAGAGCGCGTCTTGCAACCGACCAAACGCGCGCTGGCTTTGATGAACAACAACCGCTCCACCCACCCTGAAGAAAGGCAGGCGGCAGCTCGCTCCCCCAGCCACACTTGTGCTCCGGTCTGTGGTTTGCAGTCCGAAAACACCAGCGTCTTCAAAATAAGAAAACTGATTCCCGGAGAGTAAACTCCACTCACATTAAAGTCTGCCAAATCGTAGGCAATAAGTATTTGCTGAATGTTTTGCTTTCAAGCTAACACTTCGACACTCACTACTCTGGACGGCACTACTGCCCCCCACAAAACGACACGACACTGGCTAACGTCTTCCCGCCCGCCAGGCAGGGTTAGGCCCGTGCGGGTGGGAATCACTCTTATCCCCACTAGTCTGACGAGAAAGCCGGGACCCGGGCGACTGGCCACTCGGGCGAGCTCCACAGTGGAGCACGAACAGCGCCGGGAGGCGCAAACCGCGGCAGGCGAGGAAGCAGTTCAAGCTGGTCTCCGGCCTCGCGTTCTGAGGGTCGGCAGTACTTACCCCTCAGGCCTGTGAGGCCGCGACCGCCGACGCCTCCCCCGCGGAGCCATGATGCCGCCCTCCGCTCCCGAGCGACTGGAAGCTCCCGCCAAGCCCCTCGCCGCTCCGAGCAGCCAATCCGGGCCGAGCACGCGCGCGTGCGCAGAACTTCCTGAGCGGGCCCCGGGCTCCTCCCCGCCTTGGAGCGGGAGGGAAAACTGGGCCTGGCTATCACACCGCAACGGAACTGAAGTCCATGCCGCACAACCAGTTACCTACGGTCCATGTGATGCCAAAGTTTTCCGGGCTTTCCTCCCACCCGCATCGCCAGTTTTCCAGAGCCCGAAAGCCCCGGAGCCACGTGGGACCGCCCCCTGTGGGTGGGGAAAGGGGAGGAGCTAGTGTCCTTGAGCCTGTGGGCAGGTAAGTGGGTGGGCGCAGACCAGCTATCGCAGCTGGTGCCGCTGAGGCCGCAGTCGTCTTGACAGACCCACAGGATTTGGCTTGCAGCCCCTGCTGCCTTTATCAGCTGTCTGAGCTTAGCACGTTACTTTACCTCTATCCCAGCACCTTCATTTGTAAATGGTCAGGGATCCTTTTGTTCTTTTATTTTGTTTCTGTTTAAAAATGTGTAATGCAGAAGAATGAAATTGAACCCTTACCTTACACCGCGTATAAAAATTAACGCAAAATGGATCAAACACCTATATATAAAGGCTAAAATTAAAATTAAAACTCTTAAAAGAAAACAGAGCAAAAGCTTCATAACATTGGACTTGGTGGTATGATTTCTTGGATATGATACCAACAGCAGTTTGGGATGATGAAAACGTTTTGGAAATAGTGGTGGATGGATGCACAAGATGAACGTACTTGATGCCACAGAACTGTAAACTTACAAACGGTTAAAATGCTAAATTTTGTTGTGTATATTTTACTATGATAAAAAATTACGTTTCATGCATATAAAAGAATATAGTAAGGATAAAAACAAACATCCGTGTAACCAGCACTGGATGGGGATATGAATCATTATTATACATAACTCTTGGGTACCCCTCTGAATGGCACCCTCCTCCTCCAGAGAATAACCACTGTTCTAATTTTATGTGTATCATTCCTGTGGTTTTCTACCTTGATATAGCCCCAAATAATGTATTGATTATTGCATGTTTCTAAACTTTATATGATATTTGGTAGGTATTCTGCAAATGTCCTTTCTTACTAAAGCTATTGCTTTTATTTTTTATTTTATTTTTCCATAAATTATTGGGGTGCAGGTGCTATTTAGTTACATAAGTAAGTTCTTTTTTTTTTTTTTTTTTGAGACGGAGCCTTGCTCTGTCTCCCAGGCTGGAGTGCAGTGGCCCAATCTTGGCTCACTGCAAGCTCCACCTCCCAGGTTCATGCCATTCTCCTGCCTCAGCCTCCCGAGTAGCTGGGACTACAGGCGCCTGCCACCACGCCCAGCTATTTTTTTTTTTTTTTTGTATTTTTAGTGGAGATGGGGTTTCACCGTGTTAGACAGGATGGTCTTGATCTCCTGACCTCAGGATCCACCTGCCTCAGCCTCCCAAAGTGCTGGGATTACAGACGTGAGCCACTGCGCCCGGCCGAGTAAGTTCTTTAGTGGTGATTTGTAAGATCCTGGTGCATCCATCACCCCACTGCACCATATATGTTGTGTTTTATCCCTTGCCCCCATCCCACTCTTCCCCCTAAGTCCTCAAAGTCCATTGTATCATTCTTAATGCCTTTGCGTCCTCATATAAATCTGTTACTGTTAGATGTATCCGCAATTGCATCTAAATCTGCATGTAGCTGCAGTTCATTTATGTTCAGTCTTTGGAATGCATAAGTAAATACTCCATATTTTATTTATCTGTTCTCTTGTGTGTGGGTGTATCAGTTGTTTGCAGTACTTTGTTGTTACCAACAATACAGCACTGAACACTCTTATAGGAGGTTTGCAGGGGACATGTCTAAGAGCTTCTCTAGGGATAGATTCAGTAGGGATATTACTGCTATGTAGGATACAGAGTACAGCTTTCCATGATAATACCAGTGTTTACACATTGTAGATCGTACAGTTTACACCCCCCCCCCACTGGCTTCAAATATTATCAATATTCAGCATTTTAAAGACTTTTACATTGTTTATCCAGTGAGTTAAAATGGGTTTCCATATGGGCATCCTGTTGGGTTTTGGTTTGCATTTCCCCTAAGTTGATCATCTTTTTTACTCCTTATAGGCCATTCCTATTTCCTCTTCAGTGAAATGCTTGTTTACCTGGAAATCATGTGGGCAACTGCCATAGAAGGGAATCACCTGTAAGGTATTAAAGGTAGTTCCCTGTGGGTGGGTAGAAATAAGTTCCTGGAGCCACTAAAAGTAGTTGCCCTTAAGAGAGTGAGTGAGAAGCTCCGTTTTCTAGGAAAGGGGGTGTAGTCAAACCTTTTGTGCTTGCGGGTCTGAAAAAAGAAACTACCCAGTCAAAACAAGAAGGGGTTCAGCACTCTGGGTGGAAATAACAAACGCTCAACCCAAATACATGTAAATAATAAAGGAAAATCAGGAGCATGCATCACTGAAATGTCCAGGGTTAGAATGAGTGTGCAGCGGAGTTGGATGGAGAGGTTTGAGAAGCGGGCAGGGCCCTGAGTCACTGAAACATCCAGAGGTAGAATGAGTGTCCAGCTGAGTTGGATGGAGAGGTTTGAGAAACCGTCAGGGCTCTGAGTCCTTTTGCTTGCCCACCTCATACGTCGACTTTTCCAGGGGCCAGGTCTTCTGTTTTCCCTCTTCCTTCTGGATTTACCGAGCACTTATGATGCAGGCGTTGTCCTGAGTGATTACTATCTGTTGACTCATGTAATCCTCTCAATTACCCTCTGCAGTAGGCACTGTAATCCCACGTCTCAGCGGAGGATCCCAGGGAGCGGTCCCACTGACAGCAAGTGGTGCTGCCTGAGTGAGCTCCTGGGAGCCTGGTCCAGAGCTTGAAACCCGGCACCATTCCGTGTCTGTCTGAATTCCACCATTCAGAGAAAGAGACTCCGTATCTCCCAGCCTTCCCAGAAAAAGGGCTGCCGCGCCTACCTGTATTAGGGCTCTCCAGAGAAGCAGAACCAATGTACATACGGGGACAGCAGGGAGAGATTTTAAGAACTGGCTCATGCGAATGTGGAAGCTGGCAAGTCTGCAATCTCTGGGAACAGGCGCACAGGCTAGAAACTCAGGTAAGAGTTGATGTTGCCATCATGAGTCCAAAATCCACAAAGCAGGTCAAACAGCCTGGAAACCCAGGCAGAGGGTCTGTGTGGCAGGATTGAGGAGAATTCCTTCTTCAGGAAATCTCAGTCTTAAGGCCTTCAACAGATTGCATGAGGCCCACCCACATTATGGAGGGTGATGTGCTTCAGTAAAAGCCTACTGATTTCAATAGTAATCACGCCTAAAAAACGCCTTCATGGCAATACCTAGACTGGTGTTTGACCAAACAACTCGACACCGTAGCATAGGCAAGTTGACACCTAACATTAACCATCACACTGCCCCTGAACCAATCCCTGTGGCCGGGGAAATGGAATACACTCATTTGCTTCCTGGCACCACCTGGATTCCGGCTGGAACTGGAGTAGCGGGGAGCGGAGACAGATACATCCATGACAGAAACTTGCGCAGGGTTGTAGAGCTGTTCATAGGGAAGCTAGATTCCAACCCACTCCTGCCTTTGTTCCATGCTGCTTCCGCAGTTAGACTGTCAGCTTAGGGCAGTGATTCTCAGCTTGGGTGAGGGGAAGGCAGAGGGAAAGGGGTCTACTAGGATGCCTGGGGCGGGGTAACCTGATAAAGCCAGTGGATGCTATCACAGGAAGGAGACTCCTGGGGTGCTCTGAGCAGAGGTTGTGTGAGAGCCCTACCTACGATTCTGACCCAGAAGAGCCATCTTGGAGTTTCTGTAGTGATTTGTGTTGTTGAGGATGGAAACCACAGCATCTCTGCGAGTTTCTAGATATAGAAAGCCAGGTGGGGAGCCTGGTTTGGAGTGACGGGAAGAGAACACAAAGGCTCATCATAAGCCCTCGATATAAATGTGGGGGCTGGAGGCTGGTCATAGGGGAGAAGGGTGTGTAGATGGGAGAGGAGGTGCCCAGCAGATTCCAACCAATCAGGAAAGAAACTCCCCGCAAGGAGAAAGACGGGTTACTTTTTAGGGAAGTCATGGCCAGTATTTTCCATTTTAAGATGGTGCCTGTGTTGTGCTGGTCTCTTTCCACCAGTTAACCGTCAGTAAAGTTTGCTAAACTCCACAGCCTTCTGTGTCTAAGAAGACTGTGTCTAGGAGGGCGGTGAGGAAGGAAGGATCGTTAGCAAGGTAGTCGGAGCAGACGTGAGCAGGGCAGAAGAGGGCCTCTACAACCAGGAAAGCATCTGAAGCTGGTGATTAGCAGCTTCCCGATAAGATCCAAGGATTTGGGTGAGTGAGCTCAAGCAAACGCGGTGAGAGGCAAAATGATGGCGTTTAACTGGTAGACGGGAGAACGCCTCAACTGCGCATGTGCACAGCCTCGGTAACCACACTGCGTCTGTGGCCGTTCCCAAGTGCTGGCAGGCCACTGCGCATCGGGACAGCCCTCCCCAAGGGAAGACTCTGGGGACAGGTAACATGCCCCCTCCCTCAAAGCATGCTAACGTATAAGACCCCAAGTCAAAGGCCACACAGCACTTGACTCTCTCCTGTCCCCGCTTGGCCCTCTTCCAAGTGTACTTCCTTTTGTTCCTGCTCTAAAACTTTTAAATAAACTTTCACTGGGCTCTAAAAGTTGCCTCTGTCACTCTGCCTTGTGCCCCTTGGTCAAATTCTTTCCTTGGAGGAAGCGAGAACTGAAGTTGCTGCAGACCTGTGTGGATGCACTGCCATTAACGAGCTAGTGTTCCGGGTGGGGTGAAGCATGCTTATTGGAATGGATGGGCTGAAAACGCAGGAGTGGAGGCAGCGGGGTCAGGAGTCCTAGAGGTGATCTGGAGCAATGTGAGCAACTGCAAGGAACTTCAGGGACACCAGAGGACCAGAGGCTTCAGGACACTGGAGGACATAGGTAGCAGGTCCTTAAGTTATATGCTTTCATATTT